TTCTCAACCTTTCTGGTAGAAATTATTATTCCCATGTTATAGATGAGGAAACCCAGGCACAGGGCTGTGAAATAACTTATGTAAATTTACACATAAGTAAATAACAAGGGTTGGGTATGAACAAAGAGTCTAGTGGTAAAGACCATCATTTGAAAACTAGACTTTGGCTCCCTGGTCTGGTGTTCTTGCCATTCCTCTTTAGGGATCGAGGAAGGAGAAAGTGGTTTGGATGAGACTTGTGGAAAATAGTAGTCACCGCACGATGAGGTCAGCGGTCTGAAAGCCTGAGTGGGCGGGATTGAGGAGGTGGGTTATGGGGAGCCCTGACAAGCAAACTACTGGTGTTGAAGACCGGATGTCAGCACAGGCCAGGAATGGGGCTTGTGGCTACGCTGTTCAGCCAGACTTTTTCCCCCACTGACCCTTCGCCTGGGGCATCATGGCAAAAAATCATAGTTCCACATGACCTGATCCTTTCCCTTCCAATAAACACAGCATCTATGAGGTTGTTTATGGATTCCTGAATTCGTTCCTTTGCCAACATGGCCCACGGTGCATCTATTTAGCTTACTCATCTCCAAACCTCCCCAGTGGCTTCTAGAGATTTCCTTTGGCTGCACCAGGCACAGAGAGCTCTGGGTTCTTTGCAACATCTGGAGATGATCCCTCAATGTCAACAAATTCAATCCACCAAGCTTCTGAAAATAGGCAGTAAGACATGTGTAGTCAGAGAGTTTGGACAGAGTGGGGCTCCATGCAGGTTCTACCGCTTTCTACCGATGTGGTTTGGGGACCACAATGAATTTCTCTGTACCTGCAGCTAAAAGTGGAATAGGAATTTCTTCCTTATGGGTAGTAGTGAAAATTAAAAGATGTGAATTTTTGTAAACCTCAATATCTGTAAGTGATCGATAGCGGATGGTCACTTTGGAGGCCATGATTGAGCTGGGACTGCTGTTGTGCTTTGGAGATACAAAGCCAGATCTTGCTTTCAGAAGTGAATGGAGCAGGCCTTTGTCAGAAATTAGTGAAATTGCCAGGTAAGAACTACATCAGTGATAGACAAGGTCAAGAGATGATGGCAAGAAGAGAGAAATGAGCTCATCTGGGCAGAGATGGAGTGAGATGACTTCCTAGAGGTGATAATCAAAGCTATGGATGGATGCCCAATTTTGGTTAATGTGCAGTTACAACTCAGAGGACCAAGAGCTTACCAAGGGGTGGTGGCTGCCTGTTAGCTGCCTGGCCTCCTTGCTCTTGGCTTAATAGCAAAAGCCTTTCCATAATAATTAAATGACAAAGAGGTGCCATGGATCCTGAAATAATCTGGCTCTAACTTAATAGCAACACACAATTAAACACTGATTTAGAATCCAGGGGACTAGAGGAAATAAATCAAGTACCTACTGTGCACATGTGGAATTTGGCCAGTAGAAATTAATATTTTTGATCAAATAATATAATTCAGTCAGAATTACACAAACTATCTCATGGAATTCTCCTATCAATCCTATAAGGGTTTAACTGTTCCTCTTTTACTAAGACTCAAATTATCTAAGTTGTGCAAGCAGTATTTTTCACGATTAAGCAATGGCAAGATCATTTTTAAAACCCCCGTGACATGTCTGATTCCAAAGCTCATGATCCTTCTGCAATCTCGAAAACATATGTTTACACATAACTGCTCCTTCTTTTTCCAATAAGCACTGCATTTATGCAGTTATTTATGTTTTTTTTAAAAATTAATGTTATTGTCTACATAGACCAAATTGTGAGTATATTTTGCATGTAAACATGAAGGTACCCTTGAGGCACAAGATTCTTTCACATACCTGACATACATAGATTGCACTTGTGGCCCTCATAATTGACCTTTTTGTGGCTTCACTTTTTGCAATGTGACTTTGTAACTCCTCCCACTGGGAGGTAGAACTTATGTCCCTTCCTTTAAATCTGGACTGTTTCTTGTGATTTTCTTTGACCAATAGAATACTGTGGAATGGCAGAGCGCTAGTACCCTAGGCCTCCAGAAGCGGTCAGGGCATCAGTTCTCCCTGGGATTCCTACCAGGTCTGGACTGGCCAGAGGGGAGCATGTGATAGACACATGGACAGAGAGGCTTCAGGCCACCAAGATCAAGCCATCCTAGATCAGACAGCTTCCAGCTGACCAGTGGGTTAACTACACACACGTGTGAGTCAGCTGAGTTCTGCCCAGATCAGCAGAGGCAGCCAACCAACTAGTCGACTCATGAGAAATAAATAGATGTTTGTTGTTTTAAGCTACTAATTTTGAAGTGGCTTTTAGTGCATCAATAGTTAACTGATAACAACAAAAACATAATTTTATTTTTAACTAGAAGGCAATAAAGGCAAAACTTGCATTGTTTCAATTATTAGTCAGTACCCCAATTTGGACTCATTGTTCCCTAGACCTGTTGGGCAACTATCTTCTTGGTATCCCCCTTTATCATTTTAGGAATTCCCTTTAGTTTGTTTTCTGAAACTCATGTCTTCCCCTTTCTTGGTAACTCCCTTGTTTTGGTGGAGTACATCCTTTGGCAGTCACATGTGAATGGGTGCATAGGCTTAGAGACTAGGCATATCTGAAATATCTTTGTTCTAGCCTTATTCTTAATTTGAGATTTTGATAAGATAGAATTCTAGCTTGGAGAAAGTTCCCTCAGAATTTTGAAGGTACTGTTTCATGGCCTTTCACCTTCCAATGTGGCAGCTGAGAAGTATGATTCTATTTTGATTCTCAATCCTCTATTTTGTTGCCTCTATGAATTTTTAAGATAATATGGCTTAGCATGGGTCTGTTTTCCTCCATTAAGTACTCCCTTGCCCTTAGTCAAGATATTCATGTTCTTAAGTTCTGGGAAATTTTCTTGATTTATTTCTTGGATGATTTCTTCCTCTCCATTTTGTGTTTTCTCTTTCTACATCTCCTATAATTACATGTTGATCTTGTAGCCTGGGTCTCAATTCATTGTCAGATATAGTTAACTCCATTTTAGGAGGGGGGGGGTTACCAGGGATTGAACTCGGGGACACTCAGCCACTGAGTTACATCCCCAGCCCTATTTTGTATTTTATTTAGAGACAGGGTCTCACTGAGTTGCTTAACTCGTCACTGTTGCTGAGGCCGGCTTTGAACTTGAGATCCTCCTGCCTCAGCCCCGCCCAGGCCTCTAGGATTACAGGCATGTGCACCAGGCCAGGTGATAACCCCATTCTTAGTATCAATTTAATTTTAGTCAGCTTTCGATTATTGGGATAATATTCCTGGGAAAATAAAGGGAAGAAAGATTTAGTTTTGCTCATTGTTTCAGAGGTTTAGGTCCCAGTTTGTGACCATTGAAAACAGAACATGATGGTGTGGAGTACACCTTGGTGCAGGGGGTAGAACATTGCCTCTCACTTTGTGGTGGCTAGAAAGCAGACAGAGATAAAGATAGAGGAAAGAAAGGTCCCAGGACAAAATATGTCCTCCAAAGACACGGACTCAGTGACCTTCTTCCTCCAACTAGTGTCTACCTCCTAAAATTTCCACCATCTTCCCATAGCCTATTAAACTGTGAATCCCTCAATGGATTAATTGATTGATGAGGTCAGAACCCTCATGATCCAGTCCCCTCTTGAAGGCCCTACCTCTGATCACTGCTGCATTGGAGACCAAGTATACAACACACGTGCTTTGGGGAGGCATTTCAGGTCCAAATCATAAAACCTTGACTCAACCAGGGACTATTTTTAGACCAGAATAAACTTCTGGTCTTCTGCTGGGATTGAGATAGAACAGTTCTTAGCTGCACGGAGTGGGGAAGGGGGTCTGGAGTTCTGACTGCTTCCTAAATAGACTTTAAGCCTCTCCACCTAATCTCCACCGTCCCCACCACTTTCAGAGTAGTTAATGCTGCCAATTCCTGAACTTTTGGGGATTCTGCTGCATGAATTTGTTTCTTAACTTTCCCCACTGCGACTTAGGGGTTAGCTCTTCCAGGTTTGTTCAGTCAGTGACCAATTGACTATTATTTTCTAGCTTCAATTTTTTGTTTGTTTGTTCTAATTAGTTATACATGACAGTGGAAATGACATGTGGAAATGACATGCTGTCATGTCATACAGGACAGCACTTATACATTGCTGGTGGAACTGCAAATTGGTGCAACCACTATGGAAAGCAGTATGGAGATTCCTCAGAAAACATGGAATGGAACTATCGTTTGACCCAGCTATCCCACTCCTCGGTTTATGCTCAAAGGACTTAAAATCAGTATACTACAGTGATGCAGACACATCAATGTTTATAGCAGCTCAACTCACAATAGCTAAACTATGGGACCAACTTAAGTGCCCTTCAACAGATGAATGGATAAAGAAAATATATACACAATGGAATGTTACTCAGCCTTAAATAAGAATGAAATTATGGCATTTGCAGGTAAATGGATGGAGCTGGAGAATACCATGCTAATGAAATAAGCCAATCCTCAAAACCAAAGGCTGAATGTTTTCTCTGATCTAGTTTCAAATTTTTATTGCTATCATCTCTTCTTCCAATCTCTGATTTGCTTTATCCTTTAGTCAGTATCTCTTCATTGTCTTTATTTAGAGGCCTACTTAAGGGCATGGAGGTGAAAGGAATACTCAGTGGCACAGAGGATAGGTTCACCTTCTTCTCTTCAATGGGGAGTCCAAGAATAGCTATTTGCTTTTAAAGAATGAACATGTCACAGAATCTCACTTAGTTTGAAAAATGTAGGCTACACACCTCCTATGAAAAGAAAATCAAACTTTCTTCAATAAAAGACTCTTGAGTGTTGGAAACCATGTCGTTTTTCCTTTTAGAAAAAAAAAAAAAAAAAAAAAACAAGATGAGTATGAGGCTTCAACCACCTCAGAAACCTTTGACTTTGTGCTTCCATTTTACCCAGAGAGACAACCACAGCTCGTCCCTCCCAGCCTCCCATTTCCCTTGAATTAGAGACTTCTGAGTCCATTTCCTTTTGCCTTTTAATGTTAGCCTTTTAATATTTTCCAATAAGTGCTTTCAACCGGGCAGAATACATGTCATGCTTTCCTCATTATTATTGGTCCATCAATAAATATACAAAAACCAGAGGAAGGGTATGCTCTGAAAAATCCAAGTAGCAATAGCAATGATCATTGTACAAACATGAACAATGGGCCAGTCTTTGCTAACTCCACACCGAGGACTTACAACAAGACACACCTAGGACAAAAGCCAATGAACCTGTTCTTCTTGTTCTTAAGGACATTTCATTCTTCCAGAGAAGTTGGATATTTCCTCTCTTCTACTGCTCTGCTGTGACATCATTGAGTGAATGTTGACACAAAACTGATTCTTGATGTTATGGGCTTCAGTGCAAAACCTTTTGAGAGGTTCTGCTGGAAGAATACATGTTGACAGGCTAGAACCTGCAAAATGGGGAGTTGGAGGTATCTTTTGCCTCATTTGATTTTTTCACCCAGAGCTAATTTAAGGAAGGCCCTCAGGAGACATAAAAGATTGACAATTGCGGGGAAAATTATGCCTTAAGCTCTCGGGTTGCTTTGTGATATAGTTAAATGGTGGCCCCTTACTTTTGTAACAAGGGCCCAGTTTAATGACTTAGTCCAGGCCACCTGGCATGTCATTGGTGGGAATGACATGTGGTCAAATTATGCTTTCAGAGTCATGGCCATTATGTCAAATCATTTCCTACCCCGCCTGTTTGTTGGAAAATGTCTAGAACGGGCGGGAAATCATCTCTAGCTGTGAGACTTGACTCTCCAATGTGCCCCCAAAAGAATCTGGGGGACAGGTGGAGCCTGGCAGGGCCCTCTTAAAGCCGATCCCAGAGTGGCTTGTGGCATTCAGGTTAAAGAGCCTGAGGGAGCCTGTCTGGGTGTGTGGCAGAGCCAAGAAATCCCTTAGAAAAAAGGGGAATTTTTAAATACTGGTGGGAGTGACAACCCAGAGAAAACTGATGTCCATTTTCTTTCAACTTGAAAAGGAAAATAAAAAAGAAAACCAGGTATCTGAACATGCAAGTAGCCAAAAACATTCATAGAAGGAGAGAAAGGAGTTTTCCTTTTTAAGATTGTGGCCAGAGCGGAGGGAGAAGGTCAGAGCGGGTAGGAAGAGCAGCGGTTGGGAAGGAGTGGAAAGTTTGCATCTCTCCCTTAAATATACCCTTCCTGTCAACTCTTTGTACAAACCAGTCCTCATTTTTAAGTAGGGATTTTTTCCCCCCTTCTTCTCCTATTTTTGACTTGAAAAACATTGCCTGTGAAGCACAGCAGTTCAGGCAATGAACGACTTTTCTGGAAGCCTAAAAAGGGAGAACCCTTACTTGAGAGCGTCAACCTTATCGGTCATGAGTAGCCCCTGGAAGTTCCAGGACCAATGGCACATCCTGAATGATGAAGAGGTGCCCCAAAGGACTTGCCAAGTTGGAAAAACACAGGACAGAGGATAAAGCCATTATTCTCTTGTTTAGCCATAAACCTGCTTTTCTGGTGATAAGATTCCAGTGGTGAGAAACCCTGTAACCTTTTGAGGGATTCCCCAGGAACTTAACTCATCCCAGTCAGAAACTGCATGGGGGGGGGGCAGACAAACAAATATGCCATAAAACAGTGGAATAAGATCTATACCACATACCCCCCCCACCCACCAACCTATGCCAATCAGTTGGCCACTGACCATACTTTTTCATTTATAATCATGAGAGGTCAAAAGGCATAATGATATGTTTTTTTGGAAATCACCACTAGGGTCAGCATCTATGAAATGGGACCCCACAAATGGCAGGTGATAAAAATGGAATATGATTTCTCAAAACCCTTCAAGGGGACAGAAAGGTGGCCATTAAAACCCCAAAGCGGCTGAAGCTCTTCTGCTCACAATTCTGACTCCAGAATCCAAGAGAAAGCTTTTGAACAGCCTCAGAAATCAAACAGTGCTGCCTTCCTTGATCTGTGAGGTTTGGCTGAGGGATCCTGAGTGGGAGTCCAGGGACTCTGAGATGAGTTTAAGGAGGACCATTCTCAGATTATCCCAATGAGCTCTAGAGACCCAGGCGTTGCTGGTTTTAGAGACAGAAGGATCACAGCACAAAGGGTTAAAATGGAAGAAGTACAGATATTTATTATGTATCAGCTGAAACCCTTTTATGCCTCTGACAAAGTAACCTAAAAAAAAATCATACTGATCAAAGGACCACCAGGGTTTAATATTTCAAAAACACAGATAAATAGCTTACTACAGATAAATAGCTTCACCCTTTGGGTGTCTCCCAGAAGCATCTGAAAAATTTCCAGGGGGGTCTGTTTGTTAAAAGGGATGTATAACCAGTACACCCCAAACCCCTACCCTCACTGGAGAGCAATGCCCAGGGATGGGCTGCTGGAGGGACAATATGGGCCCATTCAGATTTTCTCCCAGGGACCAATCTCTTTTAGCCTCCGGGAATGTCCTTAGCTGGTGACTGTTAGCTGGGAGGTAGGGTATGGAGAAGGTTGGGAATCAGACACATGTATTTGTGGTCTTTGTTAGAAGCCATCTTTAGCACACCCTGAAGGGGTGAAGGCCTCTAGTGGGGAACTGGAACTGTCAGATTCTTGTGGATTATTAACTGAGTCCTAATGTCAGAAAGCAATGCTGTTTTTATAAATTGGACCTGACTTTTAAAAACAAAACAAAACAAAAAAACCACAAAAAAACAAAAAAGAGTAGAAAATTTTATGCTAAAAAAAAGTCCCCAATAAAACAATCAGTAGCACATTGCATCTGTGAAGTGTCCCAGCTCCCTGTAATGGTTATATTTCAAACTGTGGTTTCTTTTCAAGTTAATGGTGTAGATGTTACACCCCGATCTTCATGTCCACATTCTGCAGGTTCCGTGTCTCGTCGGCTGTCATAAATTGGTCTGGGGTCTCCGATGACTCCTTGTTCACCAAATGCACCATTTCCTGAGACTTGCTGGCTTCACCATTGAGTCCACTTGGCTTTCTGTCATCCACGGTCCCATTGCCATTGTTGATCACCAGCTTTTTCTTCTGCCCACACCTAATCATTTGTAAAACATCGAGAGAAAGGGTAAAATGAGCATGGGTTGCTGGCCTTTTGACTAAGATAAAGTGGAGACAGGGTCAAATGACTCAATCACCGTCTTCATGACCATCATCACTGTTCAGTCATGACCATGACCATCACCACAGTTTATAATGACCTGAAAGCACTGAGCTTGATACCTTCTCTACTTTATCTTATCAACTCTTAACAACCAGCATTTCTCAAAGTGAGGTCCCTGGACCAACAGCAAAAGCATCATTTTGGAACTTGTTAGAAATGGGAATTCTCAGTGAATCAGAAAACTCTAGGGTTGGGGCCCAGGACATGAGGTATAACAAGCCTGTGAGGGCTTCTGATGCATGGTCGGGTTGGAGAATCCGTGATCAACACTCTGGGAACCCAGCGCTATTATTATCATCCTGTCACAGGAAGAATTGGAGATCTGAACATTTAGTATTTTTCCCAAAATATTTAACAAGCAGTAAAAGAGTCAGGATTCAAACCCTGGTCGGTCTGACTCCCAAGCTCTAATTCTTCTCCTACCACACCATGCAATGGAAATGTTGACTTTTGTGAACACTGCAGCAGTTCCTGCAGACTCAGGTGAACCGTCAACATGACGATTGTAAATCATTCTGATTTGTGTGTTCAAGAAAGTCGCACTACTTGCTCTCCCCGTCAACATTTGTTGGCCTTGTCAGTGTTATTACTGCTTGCACAGAGAAGAATAAAACAACATTGTTCTAGAAATAGAGGCCATATTTTTGATTTTCCCTAACATTGGTTCACTCATGTATAACCCTGGGTAGAAGATAAATTATTCTCTGTTACTTTAAGGTTTCTTCATCACATTACTTAAGACTCAAATGCAGAAGAAGGTTTTCTACAAATGAGCATGAGACTGTCCTGCTATTGTCATAGCGTTGCCTCACCCTCCCGGCCTGGTGCAGGGCTTCCTCTTTCCTGTAACATGATCACAGCTACACACAGAGCAGTTAGAAAATGGTGCTTAACGGAAGCAAAGTTGCACAGTTTCACAACTACCAGGAGGGCAGGGAAGAGGAGAGAAGGACTAGCATTCGTTAAATACTTTCTGAACTCCAGACTCTTCGCAAATAATTTTCTATGATCCTTATAATAGTCCCACAAAGCAGCAATCGTCCCCATTATACAGCAGTGGAAACTGGGGCCCAGAGAAGTTTAATAACTTTCTTGAGGTCACCTAAGGGATAAGACTGACAGAGTCAATATTCAAATCTAGACTTTTATGACCAAAAGCCCAGCCCTGCTTGGCTCTTATCAGTGCTGCCAACCATCTGGATATCTGGAAACAGTATGAAGTCGGAATTGTTCACTTTGCCGCTGGATATTTGAGTTATAGAGACAAAGCCTCTATTATTCATGATCACAGGCCATTCCCTGTAGGACTGCCAAGGCTATAAACTTTAATCTCTTGTTTGGGGAAATAGAAATTATACCTCCTCCACAGGAGGTGGATCTTATATCCTCTGGCATGAGGCTTGGTGAAGGGTAGAGGGAAAGATGCTTGAACTACGGAGCAAAGTTACGAGGACAGGGGGCGTGGATAAAGCCCACAGAGTAGGGTGCATGGTCAAGAGCAGGGTTTGGGAGGCTGGGCTGGGAGACCTTGCAGCTGTGTGACCTGGAGCTATTCAACCTCTCTGAGCTTCAGTTTTGGGTACTTGTGAAATGAGGCAATGGAGAGTTATCAGCCTCACAAGAGAATGGAGAGACCTCAACACAGATCCTGGTACTCAATGAAAGAGTCTATTATTGTTATTATTTATTGCTTTTTTGAACAATGTGGGTTGAGGACACTAAGCACTTAGACGGGTATCCGGAATTCAGGAAGCGATCAAGAAGAGGCTGGCTGTAATTGCTGGCATAACGAGAGGCATGTGAAATGGACTAGGCTGATTTCCTCTGGCTGCCTCCTCCTCCCATCATGTTTTATGTACTATTAAAAGGGTTTAAAGGGCTACAACTAGACTGCCACTTGCATGATTCTAAATTCTCAGGTGGTATTCTGTGTTCTTTGGAGGAAAGTTGCCTCATTAAAGTAATTTCTATTTGCCTGCCCATTGGATGGGTGAGCAGGGGAATGAAGTACTGTGGCAAAGTGATTTGTAAGCATAAAAACCAAAAATCTGTCTCTGCATGCAGGGGCGGGGACGAACACGTTATTAATCTAAATGAAGCTAATTTTGGAAGTAAATAGCACTTGACCTTAGAACACAGGAATACTACACTTGACCTCTGGCTGGCTCCTCTCCTCTTTGGATTTATGTATCTCCATTATCTGTCTGAGCTCTTGGAGGAGGGTAAGACGATTCTCGTAAATAACTCAGTCCAATATTGAGTGATCTAGGTGCTTAATAAATAGTTTCAAAAGATAAGGGCTAAATTTTCCATTTTCCTTAGTTCTAGGAATGAAGGAGGAACAGCAGCTGAAGAGACCTTAGGGATCATCCAGCTCAACTCCTTTTTATGTAAACTGAACACTGAGTCCAGAGGTCACGGGTATTGTCCAGAGTCACATTGCCAGAGTCACAGCTTAGACCTTATGACTCCCAAGGCCGGGGATCCTTGCTGACTTGTGTTTTGCCTTTGTCTTCTCTCATGGAAAGGTCCTGCTGTGACCAAGCACAGTGACCACCAGATGGAGGGCTCACCAGGAGGGGGCAGGGCAGGCTGGATGGGCTTTAATATCCAGGTAACGAACTTTTAGGACATGGTGGAATTTATCTCAAAAGGCTTCGTTGGCAACTAACTTAACAACTGATTCACGTCTCTTCTACCTGAAAAATCTTTAAAAGATATTTAGGAATTTATTTTGCGTTGTTTTAGAACTGTGCCATCTAACACAAGTAACCACCAGCCACAGGTGTAAGTGTCAACTAAATTTAAACAAAATGAGTAAAATTTAAAATTATTATTTTATTTTGGGGGCTACTGAGGATTGAACTAGGGACACTCGACAGGGTCTCACTGAGTTGCTTAGCACCTGGCTTTTGCTGAGGCTGGCTTTGAACTCGAGATCCTCCTACCTCAGTCTCCTGAGCCACTGGGATTAAAATTCACTACTTTGGTGGAACTAGCCGTGTTTTAAGTGCTCATGAGCCACAGGTGGCTAGTGGCTATGGACAAACAGTACAGATGCAGCATGTGTCCATCACTCAGAAAGTGTGATTGAATAGCACTGTTGTAACCAGCAGGATCCCAGCAAGCTAGACAGTGGAAATAGACCGGGAAGACATTTCTAAATTATGGAGATTTATGGAGGGGACCTACCAAGAAGAGGATGGGTAACTGCCTTCTGGGTTCACAGAAAATATGATTATTCCCATAAGAGCAGAGACCTGCGGAGGTCTTTTCTGCACAATCAGTCTAGAAATGTCCTTAAATCCCTCCTGTCTTGGAAAGTCTTCTCTGACAATGTCCTCAGGTCTTTTTTCCTCTTCAGACACATTGGAAAAATTCTTTAAGGGAAAGATGCCTGCAGGCTGCTTCTCTTGGGCTTCATCCAATATCTACCACCCCAATTGACTCCTGAAATGATGTGCTCTTAGTGGGGGTAAATCAAGTCCATTTCCCCTTGGGGAGCTGTCATTCAATAAGGCTGGTTTCAAAAAGAACATCAACGAAAGCAATTTTGGAATATGGCGGGGGGTGGGGAAAGTTGAAGAAGTCATGGAACACCCTACGTCAGTGTCTCACAGAGCACTTTGTCATGGTCAATCCTGTGCGTCAACATCAGCCACTAACATCTTTCCTCTTTCAACCATAATCCCTATACAATGGCTGGCACTGAGGGTGTTCTCCACAAATAATAAGTGACTCAAATCTGACAGGCTTATACAACCACTAAAACTCAGGATTCTTCTATGGAAGGAACAGCACGCTTCATTTTTTCTCTTCCTTCTCACCAGTGCTGATGGTCACGGGAGCCACCCAAAAGATATTCGCTGAGCTGGTCATGGTGGCACATACCTATAATCTCAGCAGCACAGGAGGCTGAGGCATGAGGATCAGACCTCAAAGCCAGCCTCAGCAACTTAGCAAGGCCCTAAGCAACTCAGCGAAACTTTATCTCTATATAAAATATAAAAAAGGGCTGGGTATGTGGCTCAGTGATAAAGTGCTCCTGGGTTTAATGCCCGGTACCAAAATAAAATTAAAAAAGATGTTTGCTGAATGAATAAGTCTGCTTTGAGGTCCTATTTTCAACCAAACGTTCTTTGATGAAAATAGGATTCTGCATCACTCTTCAGTGTTAACACCCAAAGCAGAAAGGCCCCAGCCTTCTAACAGGATTAGAAATGGGCTGTTGGCTTTAGGAATGCAGTAAACATTCAGGGTCTGTGCAGCCGTTAACCATCCTTTAGCTGAGTGGCAAATCTGTTTTCAATTATCAAATTGGGACACAGTAATTTATGGCGTTCACACAGCTACTTTCCCAGTGAGATACTTGCTCTGTTGGGTCCTGTGTGTCCCTGTTTGCCTGTTGCTATGGTGACTGCTGGTCTTGGGAGGAGAGGACCCGGGATCATGAGGCCCTGTCCTCTCTGTTGCTGCTGACAAGACAGGGAGCTAACCCTCCACGATGTACAGACCCCAGCTGCTCTTGGGGACAGCTGAGCTGCTTCTCAGAGGGCTCCCCACGTCGACAGCATGCAGGCCAAGGTCTCCATGGTGACATGTGCAAAACTTATGGACTGTATATGTGAACATTAGGGGTACATTCTAGGGCCTGCGACAAAAGGACTGATTTCAAACAATGGGAAATTCATATTTAATTGAGCAACAGTAATCCAAGGGAAGACAAGGAAGCCGGGGGAAGTATAAAGATTCTTTGTCACATTATTTAGATTCATATTTTTTAAAAAATCCCTTTTCATTAATAGGAGCACATAGGTTTTTTAGACCCCTGGTTCTTGTTCCTTGTGTGACTGATTTTTTTTTTTTAATGCTCTCAAAAGTATATAGAGAAACACAGCTATTGACTTTAATATAGTACTTTTTTTTTGGTAGTGTGGACTGAACCCAGGGGCACCAAAATATACTACTTTTATTAACTTGTACCAGTATAAATTTGGTACTATTGATTTCCTCAGATAATTGGAGACTACAAAGGTTATGCACAACATGGTATTAGTTGTTTAGTGTTTTCTAAAAGTGAACAACCAAGAGTCTATAATTCCTCTCTAGGTCTTCTCCCAAACTAAGGGGCATTTTCTGGCCTGTGAGATGATTCAGAGGCACAATGCAGGCAGCCCTACCTGAAAATAAGATTCTCTTACTTTAGAAGCAATCCCAGGGGACATCTACGAACGGTTTAATATTACAAAGGTTTCATAATGAGTCTTTAAAGAGTCTTGGGCAGAAAATTTCCACTTATATAAAAGTACACCTTTATTTTAAAGTCTGCCTGGTTAATGCTCATTTCCTCTGTTGCAAGAATTATTATTGTCCTCCTGTTCACCCTGGGTAGCATTATTTCTGGTGCCTGCTTGTGGCTTAACTATGTGTATGTGCCATGCAAATAATCTTCAAACTGCTAAGCCCCGGTTGAGGTAGGAAGAGAGAGGGGCCTCTAAGGACAGGCAAAGAGAACACTTGCCCATTCTCTCTAGGTCTTCTCTGTCTTTATCCACCTGAGTACTCTGTCTTTACCCACTCTCCTAAGGAAAGTTCTTTATTGTTCCATAGATCTCAATGTTAGCAAGTTTTCCTAGGCTATAACCTGAATTCTTGTAACTGCAGCTTCCAGAAAATAGAAAACATTATTACAAAAAAAAAAAAAAAAAAAAGACACACAAAGCTAATTCATGCTTCAGGCAAGGGTTCTGGAAGGTTCCATGGACGTCAGGCTAAAGATCCCTGAATCTTTCCATATTTTGTGGATCCTCAAAGCACTTAATAAATGTTTATTTAACAAATCAATGAATGAATCTTTACTTTGTTGTGCATTCCCTGTGAGCTATTTCATAACTTTTATGAGAGAGAGTCTTCATTGGGTTTAACTCTGCAAAAATTAAGAACCATGAGATTCAATAACCATTTAAAAGTGGGGGTCCAACTAATCACCAATGTCTCCTTTCTCTAAAGAATGGGACAGGAGGGTTTCTTAAACTGTGCCATGCCCACCAAGCCCTGGGATCTTGTTAAAGCCCAAACTCTAAAATAGGAGGTCTGGGGTTGGGACTAAGATTCTGCGTTTCTAACAAGCTTCCAGGAAGCCAAGGCTGCTGGTCACAGGAACTACACTCTGAGCAGCAAGGACATAAAGCCTCAGTTTATTGATGCCTCCCCCAAGTCGCAGGCCCCAAGGGGCAGCCTCTTACCTTCTCCGACTGTTGACAGCAATGCAGACTGCAAGAATCAAAGCCAGGGCCAAGAGGGAGGCCAAGATGATGAGCCACTCTGGTGTGAAGGAACCAAAGGACACGCATGAGCTTTGGAAATGTACTTTGTAAAACCAAAAATGCAGTTTAAAAATCAACCTGTTTCAAATAAGAACCACAGTCAGCACCGAGAGCCCTCCAACCAAAAGGTTCAGCCACCAGGCAGGTCATTGTAAAATAAGAATTTTTCTGTAGCTGCTTGTCCAACAGGCCTCCTGAATGAATCTTTTATCATCAGTCAGCATTTTCAAGTCCTACCACGAGAAATCTCTTTCCAAAAACATCTAGGGTGACTTGTTGAGACTTGTAGATGCCTTTGGTGCAGTATTATTAAATAGGTTAAAAGAAATTTATGCTTCTTTTGAAAGAAACATTCTAAACAAAAATGAAGGTCACATTCTAGTGAGTGTGGCAAAGGACCCTGCTTGGGAGGTAGAAAGCGGGCGAATCTGTGCACACGTAATGAGGGTCATTTGGCTCCATTTGCAAGAGTTTTCAAAATATTCATGCTTTTGATCCCATAGTTATACTTCCTGGAACTTATAGAATCTCAAAATTAGCTGTAAAGATGCACTTTACTGTGCTGTTTCTAATATTAAAAGTTAGGAACAACCCAATATCTAATGGTAGGGGATTGGTTAAATAAATTAGGATATATCCATTGTATATATCCAAAAAGAAAATAGTAAACTATGTGAAAAAGCTGTGGTCAACCACCAGGAATGGTTGACCAGACCACACGCACCATACAGTTCTATTTTTGTTCATAAATTACATTGAAAGACAACAGGAAGAATACAGATGAAAATAGTAACCATGGAGCTTCTGAATGGTGAGATATTTTTGTCCATTTGTTTAGTTATATTTTTGAAAATCTCTTTGATACCATGTATGACTGTGCCCTATTGAAATACTATACACTTGTTTTAAGGTCAGGCTTTGATAGGATTAAGGTAGGACTTGGCAAGTGCAAGTTTTATATGCTTGCAATGAACCAGGGCTTGAGAAAGAAGAAAAATGGAAAGTCATTCATTGTCCACTTTCTTGAGAAGTCTTGGTTTCCTCCTATTTCCTGCTGGGTACCACCTTTGGCTCATCTCAAATAGGTGGGGAGGCTGACGGGAGTGTACTATTTCTCCAGCCTACGCTGCACCTTGGCCCTGGTCTCTCGTCCTGAGATGTTCCACATTCACTCTCACTTGAGCTGGGAAGACACCTACTGCCAGTCACAGCTTCCTGCATTTCCCTTCTCCTTCCCTGTCCTCCCTGGCAGCCCATCCCCTCTCTCCAGAGGCTCTGCCTTCAAGTGTGCTCAGACAAGCTGAGGCAGAGGAGCCAGGCATACACCACATTCTTCTCTTTTCCCACGAGTGGCTCAGTTTGGAGCCCTCCAAAGAGGGGAGAATTAAAAGGGTAATTTACTATGCTGGGAGAGCTCTTCCTCTCTGTAATCGCCCTTTACCAATGGTCAGTTCTGATCCTGAGCCAAATAAAGAACTGGCTTCAGATGTCTCAAATCTTGACACTCTTAAAAGTCAGGTGTCCACCCCCATCACTACTTGCACATATAATATTTTCTGAAAAGTTTTTTTTTTTTTTGACTGGATCAGTGGATTGACCCTCATGAAAAAAGTAATGAAGGGAAAAGAAGAATGCTTTGCTCCACCCAACACAGATGGTCCTTATATCTCCTCCTTATTTGCAATGCAAAAAAAAAAAAAAAATCCAGCCCAAGAAATAAAGGGGACAGTTGGTGGGAATAGGAAGGTCCTAGGAGAGCTCGGGTAATCACTCATTTGTGAAGAAAACTTTAGTAAATAACATAGCACTTCTCTGAGACAGGCCAGGGGATCTGAATGTGAGCTCAGCCCACCTAGGTGACCCAGGGGACCAAGGAAACAAGAGTGTTCCATCCTTTTCTTCCAAGAAGCATGGTACTCTCATTCATTCTTAAACTTTCAAAAGAGAAGCCATCAGGTTCAGGGGACCTTAATTTAGGAGAATGGGCATTTGATTGGGTTTCTTCTTCTTCCTGGAACATTCTGAGAAACTTTCTTTTTTTTTTTTTAACTCACCTGGAATGTGGGGTTTCCTTATAGGCCCAGAAGTCGTGGTTGCCCCACCTTCTTGACTCCCACTTGAATGTCCTAAGGGGAAAAGCAACAAGATCTCTTAGCTCAAGTTTGGAATGCATAACCAGGAGTTCTTTCCAGAGCAACACGTGGGGCCAAGTTCCAAGGTCTGCATCACTAAGAAACTATTTATAGATTGAAGCCACAGACATTTATGGTGTTATGTAAAAGACATTGCAAGACAATCCACCCCCCTCAAGAGTTCCATGCAATTAAGGGGAAGGCTCAGAAACATTATTTTGTGTCGAGAAACATGAAAATTCTTAGAAGCTGTGTGGTGCAGTGGTTAAGACTTTGGGCTCTAGCTGGGCAGCCTCGGATTCCAGTCCTACATCTGCCTCTTGCTAACAATGTGGGCTGGGCAAATTACCCTCCTTAAGTCTTGGTTTTCTCACTTATGAAATGGGGATGATAATAATAGAATCTACTTAATCATCATTTCACAGAGACTTAAAGAACTATGCAGTCATGGTAGTTGTGTGTAGTTATTAATCTCTATGTTTAATTTAGGACCTTGTTCCTCCAAGTGTGGCCCCTGGGCTGGCAGCATAGCCATCACTTGGGAGCTCGCCAGGAATGCAGAATGTCAGCCCTTCCTACAAACCTACCGAAGCAGAGTCTTCATTTTAACAAGATCTCTAGGGGATGCAATGGTCAGTTCTGGTCCTGAGCCAAATAAAGAATTGGCTTCAGATGTCTCAAATCTTGACACTCTTAAAAGTCAGGTGTCCACCCCCCTCACTGCTTGCACATGTAATGTCCAAACTGAATCTAAAGATCACATCTAATATCATCACAGAAGCCCAAACAAACACCAAATAATAAGGATCTGGGAGCGATGACCTTTTCTGTCACTGAAAAAATCACCCTAGTAGATTCCTTACCCATGTATTAGTGGAACACACCTTTGTTGGAAAAATGAACATTTTCTATCACTAAATATTGTAATAATAAGGAAATGATCCCAAAGTCCCAAATGGGAGGGAAGCATTGCAAGACATACAATCCACAAGTCAAAACAATAGGTGGCTTATCAAAATGAGAAGAGCATTATATTAAAATTAAAACAACAACAACAACAAAACCCCTCTAAGACACCTTGCTAAGAGACTTACCTAAATTAAAGCTTCATGAATTTTGTGTTTGTTTTTGCCTTTTGATACTTCCTATACTACCTGAGAGCAAAACTTGAAAATGTCCTACTACAATGAGCTTTTTCCTGTAGCAAATGGGAACCTGCCATAATCTACTGAAGGCCACTGAGGAGAGAAAACTCAGATGTTTAGCCAGTCAGCAGGGACTTAAATTAATAGCTTTTCTTAGAGAGTCAGACTTTGGAATCTGCAGAACAGACCCTGAAATCTTGATTACAATGATTATTTGGGGTAGGAAGACTCCTATTTATATAATTCAATGTTTTTGTTAAAACTCATAATAGAGCAAATTCTTACCAGATGTCTTACTGTTTCAACATACTCCAGCCCATTTTGACAATGGCCTTTTACTCCACAAACCTCTAAAGTATCCAAAGCATTTACCCTAAGTGCCTGCCAGGGTCCTTGGCCATTGGCAGGTCTTCACCTGCACAAGTTGTGGGATAGTGGCCATCTAAGTTGGAGATCTTTGGCCTTGGAAACCACCTAAGGTACAGTCACTCTCTCTGGTCTTTTTTTTTTTTTTTTCCCTGACTCACAGCAGCCTTTGATATTTGAAAGGGAGACCATTAATAGATCATAATCTCTTTATTTTGATTTTCCAAAAAGTGCTCCCAGCAAGGAAAGATCTGGGTGTGTACACAACAACATGAAACCTCCTGTTTGAACAATAGACACCTGCACAGGAGCCAAACAAAGAGACCAGCTCCCGCCCACCAGATTCTCACTTCAAGCAAAAGCTGAAGAGGATGGACAAGAGACAGCAGGCTCCCCTGAGCCAGAGTGTTCCACAAATCCATCTAGGGTAGGACTGGCAGGGAGAGCAAGTTCTGTAAAGAGGGGCACCGGGCACCCTTGTTGGGAGGTGAGACTCAACCTGAGACATGGGCAGAGAGCCTTCATTTGGCTTCAGCTGTGAGAAAGGCAGTGGAGGAGAGAGCTTCTCAAACTTTGACTTCTACACAAACCACCTGGGGGGTGTTAAAATGCAAATGCTAATCCAGTCTGTCTGCGTTGGCCAGAGATTCTGCATTTCTAGCCAGCTCCTCAGTGGTGTCTCTGCTGCGGGTCCAAGGACCACACTTCAGAGTAGCTGGAGTCTTTTGGTTTCAAAGAGCAGGACTTTTAATAATATCTCCCTACTGTTTCCAAAATACTTGCACATTCCTGACACCTTGTGCTCCTCATAAAAACTCTAGGGGGTAACCGAGGCTGGTTGATCTGCTCCGCTCTTTACTAATAAGGATCTGAGGCTGGGAAAGGTCAAGGGCCCTACCCAAGGAACCTTCAACTTCTGTCTTTACTTCAGAAGTATTTCAAATGAGCCCTACATTCCCATGCTCTTCCATAAAGGGTTATTATCAAAGCCATCATGTAACTATCCATTTTCAGATTGGCTTTAAATCTGTAGGCAATCCTTGCCCCAACTTGGGCATGAAGGGGAGGATGATAATTTACATGGATTAACTGGTTTGTGTGAGGTCACCTGGATTTGCAATGCTAAAGGGGAGCCACAGTAGGCAGCAATGGCAGAGCCTCTCGCTAGCCCCAGCATGAGAGATCAGCTGCCTCATGTCAAACTTTTGCTGCCAGAAGTACTGTTTTCAGGGATGAGATCTGAGAGCAAACAGGAATCTATTTAATAATGTGTGCCTGGCAGTAACTATGGTTATAATGGATTGCTTTCTCTATACTGTGCTTATGAGAGGCAATGAATCTCTGGGTTCAACACCTGACTCTGTCACTCAATGGTCATGCCAATTTGGCCAGGTTACTTACTTAACCTTCTTTGAGCCTTAGTTTCCTCATCTGGAACATGGGACTAAAAAATGGTCCTTATGTATGACACAGGGTTTGTAGTCTAATTAAATGAATTAATATTAGATGAACTTTGAATTTGGTGATATTGATAATTATTGCCCTATAGAAATAGAAGAAATAGCAGTCGCATATGGTCTAACCTCTGAAGTGTTTTGAACAACGCTGCTAACACTCAGTAAACTCTTAAATGCTAGCCATCGTATCATGTGACTTTAAATCAATGCCCTGTAACAAATTATCGCAAATTTATTAGTTAGGAAACTGAATCTCCAACCCTTTGTGTATCTTTCTTGGTTAGTGTGTAGAGGAACTGGGATCAGGATATTTCTCTTTCAGACTCACACTCTTAGTCATTCTGGCAGATGGCAAATGTTAACAAGCAGCCCTGCTTGAATTCTCGCTGATCCTTTCAGATGGAAGACTTTCCTCCAGAGCAGTAGTTCTCAAAGTGTGGTCCCTGTCCCAGAAGCATCAGCATTACCAGGGAATTTATTAGAAGTACAAATACTTGGGCTGCACCCCAGACCTACTGAATCAGAAACTTTCAGGGTGGGGCCCCAGCAATGTGACTTCATTCACCCTCCCTTCGATTGTAATGCATGCTAAAAATGTGTGAACAACTTCTCAGGAGACACTGACTCATACTTCATTAGTAATCTTCAGGTTCAACGATTATAACAGTAAATGACTACAGCAGTTTCAAACTCACCAGCCGATCCAGATCCATGTGTGGTATGGGACCTCCCACCTGCGTCTTGGTCTCCTGTCATGGGCAATGATGGAAGGTCAGTATGGTGCACTTGCATTTTCATACAACCCGTCACTGGGTTTAATCTTTTAAAGGTAAGCAAGGAATGATGGGAAGAGACTGGAATGGGTCCATGATATTAATGACTGCTCACTGCTTGGTGCAATGATGAGTGCACTAGAACTTTAATCAGAATTAAGGGAGCTGATGTAGCATAGGTCCTCAAGGATGCCCCTAGGAGATGTGCTTTTGGTAGAAATCCAAGAACTGTGGCAAAGAACTCTCCCACAAAAATATGATGCCCTCACAGGTCTGAGGTTGGGACTGGACATTGTGTATTTTAAATAAAGACAGTAAAAATTGGATTATGAGACTTCTGGTCACTGTGTACTCTGGCTCAGGGCATGGAACACTTAAAGAGATTTATTGAAGGCAGGAAATGAATTAAAATAAAAAAATCTTGTGATGGAATGATTTAAAGATTCAAAAAGAAAAGTCAACCACCTATTTAGGGGAAAGGGGGTAAAAAAAAGTGAAAAAAGAAATTGTGAGATGATAACATGTGAGCAATGTGTATCCAGGTATTAGAATTAGTTCCTAATGAGTTTTCAAAAGTCAAGTCTATATTTTCAATACCAATAGTTGATATAATCCCATCTTCTCAAAAATCCATTACTATGAAGCTTAATCTTAGACCAACTCAAGAATTGCTAAAATCTATATCTACAGGTTGAATCCCGGATTTAGCCTATGAAAATTTCCTGTCTTCTCCACCCCACAACAACACCATATTTCAAAAAAAAAAAAAATACTAATCATACTAGAATCTTGTTTTTAAAAAAATCACGACAATGGTATCATAAAGTGGCTGTAGTCATCCATTGAGAAGGTACCTGGAAAGAAAACAGTAACCTGATCATCTTCATTTCCCTGATGAGGAAAGGTGATCACCCTCATAATTATATTAGATAGATTGCTTTGTTCCTTGGTTGATGGTTAGAATAACAGATGGCAGCACTTGCTGAAATGCCCCATTGTAATCCCCGATACCAAAAGCACCACCAATATCACCAAAACCATCACCAGCACTGTCACCACGGTTCTGAATGTGTTAGTTCCTAGCCATAAACATAGAGACTGAGAAAAATGTATGGGCAGAAATACACTTGGATGAGTGTTTGAATGAAAACCAAGGATGGGAATCAGACTATTCACTAATCATGGTTACCACCTCTTGTACACTCCATAGAAGGGATCAGTAACTGGGAATACAGATTGTATAGAAGGCCTTTTATCACCAAGGTTTTGTAAACCTTATAGGATACTGTAACTATTAAAATTGCTGTTTAAAATTTAAATCCATTAGGTTGCACAACAGGCCTTATTTTGCCAAGAGAAACTAAGCAGTACTTTTTTTTTTTTTTTTGTACTAGGGATTATACTCAGGGGCACTCAACCACTGAGCCACATCCCCAGCCCTATTTTATATTTTATTTAGAGACAGGGTCTCACTGAGTTGCTTAGTGCCTCGCTTTTGCTAAGGCTGACTTTGAATTCATGATCCTCCTGTCTCGGCCTCCAGAGCTGCTGAGATTACAGGGGTGCTCCCAGCTGGCAGTACTTATAACATTCACTTGTCCAGAAGAAATCCAACAATGGTTCTTGGAGTTTTTTAGCAAGGAAGAATAGAACCGTGCTAAATGGAAAAACAAAAAAACAAGAAATGTGAGGGGGATCTGTCCTGCCAGTATTGCTGAAGTCAGTATTTTTTAAACTGTTTTCTTTGAAATCCTGGCGTGGGCAGCCCAAAAGAAAGGCCAAACAAGTGACCTTCTAGAATTTCTTTTCCTACATCAGGCATAGCATCACATAGCCACCTGTTTTATGTATTAGGTTTCATATTTTTTTTCTTCTTTTGGGAGGAAGGGTTGTGGAGGGAGGGTCTCTGTTATAAAAAAAAAAGTATATTTAAATTCACTAATTTTTAATACGTTAATGAGCCATAGGAAGTACTCAAATAGCTGATACTAGGAAGAGGGAATTTGTTTTTAGTTTCCTGGCTAGAGTGAATGTTTTCTAGTTCCCCCTTTTTACTGTGAATTTCTTAATGCACAGTGAGAAACAAACAAAAGAATAATTAGAGAACTGCTTATTTGAGAAGAAAAGTCTCATTCCAAGTGCATATCAAACTTAATTGAATAAGTCATTTCTTTGCCATTACAATAAAAGAAGTGGTTTCTATTCATTAATAGTAGATTGGATCATAAAGCTTTTAGTGCGTCATAACTAGAAGAGATTAGCCACCAGCCCATCACCAAAGGTAAAATTGATCAATCCATCACCAATAAAAGATAATAGAGGAAATTACTCACACGTTTGGGTAAACTATACCAAATAGGCAGCATATATTAGTTGAATCAAATGAAATTGCCAATATTCAATTATTTCCACAAAACCATTAATTTCATATGGTTCAACTTGATAGATCACCAGATGAGGGAGAAGACAAAGAAAGAAATCTCACCATAACAACCAAGTCACACACACACACACACACACAAATAGAAAGTGCACTGGTAAATGGAAGCATTATTTTTATCCTAAATAAACCTGAGTTTACTGACAGTAGAGTTGATGTCCAGGATGAAAGTCACAAAGTTGCCTAATCACAGCGTACGTAGAAAATAGCCCTTTAATAGGAAAAAAGTGCATGTGGTTTCTCTCTGTAAAGAAAGCAACCAGATAACAAGTGGCCAAATTACCTGGTAAAGAGCCATCAACATTAGAGGTGAAATCTCCAACAGGAACTTCAGTAACTCCAAAGACCCCAGGCTGAGCAGGGGTCACTGGGATGAGGGTCCTGTTTTCCCTTGTGTCTGGGTAGTGGGAGGTTTTACCTTCCAATGAGGTAGTGGAGTCTTCAGGAGGATTTCCACCTCTTCTTCCACCTCTGCCATCATTCCTATCTGTGTGGAGGTGGAATCAATGAAAATCCCACATGTGTAAGATCACTACCCTCCACGTGCTTCTTTTCAGAGCATTCGATTGCTACAAAAGCCTTCCTCTTGTTATCCAAGAACAAAAGCAAAAGACAGGGAAGTTGGTCACACTATTGAACAAAACTGATATTTTTCAATAGATGCCACTTGGACGGCACTCAACAGAAGTGATTGTAATACCCAGAAGAAGCATTTGTTGAAACATCTGCCTGAGCTGTTAAGGTAAGGCTTAGGCCGAGACAGCTGTGGCCTTGAAGTCAGCTTAGATACGAGACAATTTTGCGCTCTTTCTCAGCGGAATCCACCTTCAAAGATCTAGAAGGAACACCGCATTGAAAAGCAAAGAGTGAAAGATAAAATTATGCTGCCTGCAAGTGAAATAGAAAACGCAAGTTTTCAAAGACCTAAGGCTACTAACTTAACTCTTCCTTCCTTTTCCAGGAGGGCACTGCTTCTTGGTCACCAGCACCACAGAGTTGCGTTCCAGAGGTCAAATGGCAAAATAACGTTGTTAATGTAAAGAATGTAAAGTGATAGAATCAGACTTTTACAGCAATCGCAAATAGTAAGGAAGCAATACATTGTTTTTAAACTAAGTCACCAACTCTAGAGCTTGAGAAGTATAGCCTTAGAGATTAAGCAACACAGTTCACATTTAATGTACAATGGCTTCTAAGAGGTCTACAGAGCAGAAAATGCAGAGACCACCACCAGATGCACCTTTGGATCAAAAGAAGCAGTGTAGCAACAGCCAGCTAAGGTCCCTCCACCAAAGACATGGAAAAAGCACCCTTAAAATAGTGGTGTTTATCAACAGCTGAAGCCAACTGAGCTTTATTATCCTTACTGCTAGATGTGATAGTAGAAATGGTTGTTTGCTCTTTATCTTCTTCCAGTTCTCCATGTGACGTAGAGAAGCTCTGGGAATGACTGTGCTCTGTTTCAATGAGGGATGAAGCCAGTGTTATTTTGAACCATAATACAAGTCCTCTGAGATCTGCTAACAGGAAGGATCTACGGACAGGTGCATGGGGAGAACGAGATGTGCCACACCACAGGGAGAAGTATGCAGAAGAATTCCATTTTGTCTCTACCTTCTTCCCCTTTGTCTCTGGGTATAACCCATCAAGGTCAAGTGCCAAGGTGAAGCCTGAACCAGAACTCCCCACCCACCATGGATCAGCCCAGTTCCCACTATAGCACGGCACCCAGACCCTCAAGAAAACCAGAGAACATGGAGACATGGAAAAGGAATATTTAAATTTTAGTGTTCCTATCAGTAGACAAAAGCAGCTAATTGCGGGTCAACAAACATGACTGTAGGAAAAAAATAACACTATGTAGGATACCTGTAACCACAGAAGAGAAAAGATCCCATTTAGGATGACCTGCTTGAGTAACTCAAATCAAATTTATACAAGGAAATACATAACTCCCTTCTAAAAACCATTAAGTGAAAGATACCATTTCATTCTATTATTGGTTTTTTGATCTCGTCTGTGGACAGGGATTCTCATCACTGCACCAAGGAAATGGTTCCCTGGGCAAACACAGGACCCTCAGTGTTCTGAGGTTGAACCGTTGCCCATAACTGAAATCACTTTGAGTGTTTTGAATTCATTTCATTTGCATTCTTCTAGGAAAGGTACTGACCTTTGAGTTGCAGGTGCAAGCACTCCATAAAACACACCCATCAGCCATGACCACCGCCAAATAAACATTACCAAGAGACAGACATCCACCAAATCCCAAACCCAACATCAGAACAAAAGCCAGAAGAAACATAAAATGGAAATACAAGCTCTTCATTGGCAGAAGCCAGTTCATAGGCTTATTTACCAGCTCCTTTGATGCTTCACACTGTGCTATTTATATGGCCGACAATCAACACATGCTTGCTGATCTTTTGCTGGGCCTCAAGGGCTCATATAAAAGACTCTCCCCATTATGAGTAGCAAGCAGTAAAATGAGACCCTCTCAATTCTGGATTTCCTTCATATTCTGCCAAGAAATTATGAATGACTTCAGCCTGATCTCTAGGATCTGCCTGTACATATGGTGAAGAATAAGGCTACTTGAAGTTTAATGCTGCTTCCTACTGAATGCTTAGTGATTAAAAAAAAAGGGGGGGCATTGGCAAATGTTCCTTTCTTTTGTCCAGGTCCTCGGGGACCCTGCCACCTTTGTCAATTGTCCACAATGTGCCTTGCCCCTCCTCTGTGGGTGAAAGTGATTTCCCTCCTCTGACAATCTGGCTCCCAAAAATGTCTTTTCACAACCATGAAAGCAATCTGTCTGCCTCTACTGAAGCAAGGCTGGGAGTCCAAGGAGGTGGTCAGTTAAAACAAAGAGAAACCTCTGTCCTCTCTGAGGTCTTGGGTGTCCCTGATATGAGTACCTAGAATGCATTTGGACACCCATTTTTATCTTCTTCCTTCCTTCCTCATCATTCCTTTCTCCTTTGTTTTTTCTTCCTCCCTTTCTCTCCTTCCTTCTTATTTTCCCTCTTTCTTCCTCTTTTCCTTCCTTCCTTTATTTTTCCCCCCTTCAGAAAGTCATTGAATCTGGAAGGCACCAAAAATAAAGGTAACGTCAGGTTTCAACGACCCACAAGAAATATAGACAACGAAGACAGCGTAACACCCTGGGCTGAGCAGAGCCACGTAGCAAAAAAAAAAAAATGCACGATTCCACCACCAAACATGGCATCTTGACCAACATGGGAAAGAGCCGAAGCAGGAAGAGAGGTCAACAAACAAGGCTGAGTGTCATCATCCTTACGAGTTGTCACTGAAATAGGTCCTGTCCCGTTGACGTCTTCCACCGAATCTGTGTTTGGATCGACAGGAGGCTGAAGCGTTGTACTATGACTGGAGTCCACATCTGAAGGAATTAAATCAGTGTTATTGCTTTATTTCCTAAACCACCGCCTAAGGGTCATTTATGTTCTGTAGCCAAGTTCGTTTTATATTTGAAACCGGTCAGAGGAAAGAAAGCACGTAACTGATTTCAGAGCTCCAGAGTGGGGATAATTGTTGTTTCTCAGAATGTCACAAGAAGTAACCAGCTTTCACTGGAGGGCGGAGTGGTCTCAAAATCATGATTTTGGTTTGTTTTTGCTGAGTCTAGAAAGATGCTACATGAGCACAGGATGGGACTCCCGAGCCTTGCAGAGGCAGAAACATAACCCATGTTAGTCCCATTCTGTGCCCATGGCCTTTCTTAGACATGCAGAATCACCTCCCACCTAGTAGGCAAAATAACTCTTTAACACCCTTCTTCCCTCATTGAGTCCTTTTTTGTTTCACAAAGTGATCATGTAAATAAAACTGAAAAAAAAAAATCATTACACAATACTACCTAGGCAGAGGCCACAGGAAGTAGCAGGGACAAGAAACAAGAAGCAGTGGATGTCACTGAGTCCCTCCCCAAGAAGCACAAATACGAGGCATCTTTGAAGTTTACTCTCTATAGTGATGAGTGGTGCAGAAACTTAGCACTAAAGTGTTTGAGATCCTATTTTTAATAGTTATCACAGGTCTATTCTGCTGAAAAAACAAATCCTGAGTGAAACAGAGGCCGAAGGTTGAGTCAATCCACCCACACTATTGCCTCTGGGGAAATGTAATCAGTTCCAAATGTCTCCAGAGGAAAGTGCTGAAATACTGGGCTCCCGCATCTGCACGGAAGTCTTCACAATCTAAAAGAAAAGATCATCAAGATCTTTGTAGGATAGAAATGTATGGCCGACTCTACTATCTCAGATTTCAAAGAAGAGGAAAGGCCAACTAACTCAAATTAAAATTCCTAGTAGATATTCTTGTTCATTTTCCTTTTTATTCATAGACTCCTTCAAGAGGTAGTATGCTCCTCTTCAGTTGAAGCCAAGTGCATTGTCCTTACATGCTCACCATGTAATGGGATCCATTTCTCTGCCTCAGTTTGAAGACCCTTTAGTTTGATTCTGAGGATCTTTTACTGCCTTTCTTTTCTACTGGATGTCATCAGAGCCCCCAGGAGCCATGTTGCACTAAAATGTGTGCAGAGGCTGCATGAGGCACTACAGGAACTCAACGCAATGGCCCCAACCTAGCCATTCAACTCTTCTTCCCTATGACAAGGGGCCCACCAGTCTGACATAGTTATTTCTTGGCTTTTCTTCTTTTGTGGCCTTCCTTATGTGAATCTCCTTTTGTTAAAAAGAAAATCTTTTACTTCCTTTCTCTAAATACCCAAGTTTTTTTTTTTTCCATTTTCCCCAAAACAGATCCAATCCATCTTCCTCTAATGCTCTCTGGAGTGTGTGGGATGCTCTGAATTTATTGAGCAATTACTGTTGGCAATAGTGACTTCACATCTCTTTCTGCTTCACATTGTTAGGTCTATTTTGATGCTAAATGCTTTCTTTTGCCAGCTAAAGAGCATGGGCTATGGATTATTCAACTTATTTACTACTGATAAAAGAGGAGCACTACATACTATCAATTCTTGAAGTTTCTCCCAAGCAAACTGTCACTTGTTATGATGAAGAAAAATTCCTTTTAAGCATACAAGTTGATAGGATCAATTCGCAATATTCTAATCTTGCAGAATGATAACTACTATCTTTTTCTCTCTCTTTTTGAATTGCTCATAGGTAAATAAGAAAGAAGGGTATTTAAGAAGTCAGGAATTCCATCTCATTTAAAAGTTGTTCACCCATTAAATTCATGAACATTCACTGAAAGCCAAGAAGAGTCTAAATTCCAAATCACTAAATACCATATTATCTCTAAATGTGACAAGAATAATCAAGTTTTCTGAGCCTTTTAGTTACTTTTTTGGTATAACTGCTCATCAACTCTTTAACCTCTCTGATTTTTCTGCCAAAGACAAGTTATTTCTTAGATTGCAATGGAAATAGTCACTGACTCCATAACCTTGTTCTTTTGAAAACCTTGGGTTAGAAGTAAATGGAAGAGGGCTGGGATTGTGGCTCAGCGGTAGAGCGCTGCCTAGGACGTGCGGGGCCCTGGGTTTGATCCTCAGCACCACTATTTAAAATAAATAAATAAATAAAAGTATTGTATCCAACTACAACTAAAACTTAAAAAAAAAAAAGTAAATGGAAGAGCAATCTTGGGACTAACCCCTCCACATGAGAAAAGACTTCCACTTTCACAATATATAAATAATAATCCTTTAATGCTCTTGCAAAATTATTTATTCTAATATCAGGACTTCATATTTGGATGAATGTGTCTATTTCTCCTACCAAGAAAACTGAGTTCTGAAGAAATTCCAAGTTCCCAGGGAAAGTAGATTGGCCTAAAACCCAGGACATATTGCTAAGAGAAATAACTGCAAGATTTTAAAAACATAATATATTCATTAATGATGGTGGAATGTGACGATCATTATTATCCAAAGTACAGGTTTGAAGACACGAATTGGTGTGAATATACTATGTATACAACCAGAGATATGAAAAATTGTGCTCTAAATGTGTAATAAGAATTGTAATGCATTCTGCTGTTACATATATATATATATAAAATTCAAATGTTCAGACTATTACCCATGGTTCTTTCTGTCTGATGACCTCGTCCCATTGGATGTGAGATTGGGTCAAAGTGATCAGTCCAGAAATCGTCCTCTTGACTCTGTGTTGTCATTCTTTGATCTGGATGGCCGTCGTGGGCTGAAGCTTCTATGACCATGCAGTTCAAGCAATTGTCAAAATGTTAATTGAAATTTGTCCAGGGGCACACTGATATTTTTCAAAAGATTCTCTAGACCAAACATTACAACTCTCTTTCTAGTACACAGGGCAAAGAGATTTCATGTACAGAATGTTTTAGCAGGTTTGGGTTCATTCATGCTCATTTTCTTGGCAACTGGCATGTGAACTAGAGGACACAAGGCAGTAACGATTTCTGCAGTGGATGCAGAATGAGTTATAGGCATCAAGGGAAGATGAAGAAACAGCTCTTGATCCGTGCCGTGTCAATCCCCTTAAGGGGAAAGTACAAGCACCCAAGTGCATGATGTCATGCAGAGAACACCACATTCCAGTGAAATACACAAAAGATTGTTAGTGATCTAGAGAAGGAATCAGATAGATAACAGATTTAAAAAAGCTCACAACAGTATCTCCCCAGCAACAACCATAACCACATAGCCAGTCACTGAATCCCTTGCTCTACTAGGAATTCATTCAAAAGTTGCCATGCACTGGAAAGATATTCTGCATTATATTCTATATTGCAAATGGAAACATGGGGCTATTTTTCACTGATAGCAATAAGAATGTGAAATTCACATTCTTTACAAAGCAGGGTGTATTTCAATACTTCAGTCACACAGACCAAAGAGTCATGCACAAGAGCTTGCAGAACTAAGTGATCTGGAATCACTTAGAACTATATGACTTGAGTCCAATTTCTACAGTCCCACGATTCAAGAATAGAGGAGGTGACTTGGTTATAAATATGAGGAAAACAATTGTACACTCAAGGAGAAATCACCAAACAGATATGCACAAAAGCCCAAATGATGTCAGCTAGGTGTCATTTTTCTCATAATATCGGGTTCTGCTTCTTTCTACTCTAGGGTTCTAACAACATTCTTTCTCAGAAGCCTAGTATTTCGCACGACCATATTATAAAGATGGGCCCACATTAGAGAGTAGATTTCTTTACAAAAGGAAGCATTTTATAAGCTTGGTGTCTCTGTTATAATCTTACTAGGGGATGCCCAAAGCTAGATCTGAAAGTGACATTCTCGAGGACATATTCCCTGTGTTTGCTTTGTGTGCGTGTAGCTATTCTGTTCAGGTGATTTTTAGGAGCCTTTAATGGTTTGCCTCTGTGTTCACCACAACATGACTTTTTCAGAAACCTAACAGGACCTTTCCTTCATTATTCTTGTGTCCGGTGTCCTCAGTGCTCAGTATTTAACTCAAAAGGAAGTTCCCACTCAAGTTTGCTTATTAAACCATCCATTACCAGTTGTCCCTGCTGTTGAATGAGATTCTTCTCTTGGTGTTTGGTGATATCCCCCATGCCATCCATTCCCAAACCACTGTTCTCTCTGCGTGGCTGTTTCTTCTGTTGTACTACTAGAAGTTTCCCAGGCTGTGAGAAGAATGTCAATTGTGAGCCGTTGTGGTCCCATTTCCTCATCAATAGCTCCTATACTTTAAGGGCACAGACTCATGAGGAGAGACAGTAGAAAAGGAAGACAACGAGGAGATACACCACTAATATTCAGAAAGGAACATTAGAAATGAAATGGCCCCATCCTTTAATTCTTCAGCTGAGAAAACTAGGATCCAAAGAAATTTTAATTGGTTCAAAATCATGTGGCTGGATTGGTGCAAAGTTAAGGCCAGGCCCTAGCCTGTGAGTTTCCAGGACTATTCTTATCTTACTGTGGTGGGTGACCTCACATATCCTGTCTAAGAGAACTGTTCAAAGAATAAACTCTTTGCTGACTTTGGAGAAAGAGTATAACAACTTATGAGTATAGTCCGACAACTCACATGAGTCACGTTCCCTATAGCACACTCAACAAAAATGTACCAGCAATGGCTTTACCCATCGTGAAAGCTGTTACAATGTCTAGGGCGTTACAACACTGACCTATAACCCTATGGCAATGTCCCCAAACCCTATGGCAATGTCCCCAAACCACTACCTTCTGACATTAGGCTCATTAATCCAGGTCTCTTAGGACGTGTTCTGCTTCAGTAAAAAATGTTTAGAATAACTTCTAAGATACACTATTAGAGCACAAAGGGGACTATAGACTTCCTCTCTCTTCCTTTTCCTATTAGAACTCTTCTTTGTTAACCCAGCTCACAACCATTATGTATATATCAAATATATTAGGCTGAGAAATCACATGTGAGCCTGTTGGACATGTTCAGTACAATGTGCAGGACTTATTGAACTGTGTCCTAAATTTTTCTTTGGTTGTCTGGGATCCCTCAGCTGAGTGATTCCCAAAAGCTCCTTTAGCCTCTAAGTCACTGTTTAGTACATGTCCCCTACAGGGGTATTCAAGGTTGTGAGAGTGGTAGTTGAACCACAGTTTCAAAAATGCTACAAACTGTTATCTATAAAAAAAAAAAAGGCTTACTTTATTCCAAATAAGGTAGGCATCTCTCAGAGTTACAAATCTGAAAGAAGAGAACATACTTTTTAACTTTTTCTCTTTTTGTTTTCATCCTATTTTGATAGTCAAGCGGTGAGACTGGAGATTCTTTTAGAAAACCTGAGGTGTTTGTGCATAAAGAGAAATGACAGTGAGAGTATCAAAGCATCCCTCAAGTTCCCCTGGGTTTGGAAACAGAAAAAGAGCAGTTGTAGAATTCAAATGCAGACCATGTATATTACTGACTTTTCCCCAAGAGTTCAAGGGATGCCATTTTGTGGAAGGAAGAGAACATGAAACAGAAAGTGGGTTTATCACACATCCTCACAGAGAAGAAGTATTCCAAAGATCCTTCTGTTTGTCAAATTTTCCTTCCAGATCCTCCACTAAGCACTCAAAGAACGCACTCTTCACCATAAATTTCCATAAACACACACAAATCACCCACATGGGACCTCTGGGAATTTTTAACACAAAATTCTATCTCAGATATAGAATTTATCTCAGATAAACATTTTGGCCTTTCATGCAACCTGACAAGTTTTCTTCCAGTTTCTAAAAATTGTGTGTATATTTGGCCCCTTTTCATCCTCTGCAGAGATAATGACTGTTCAGAGACACAGAGTATGGCCAATGTCTAAAAAATGTCTTCCCTAGCCCCCGGAATGTCTTTATTAACTCCCATAACCAGAGCTGCCAACCGCCATCCTTACTTGTGCTTGTTGAATGTGGGGCCTCCTCTTCATCCTGATGCTCATGGTGAGTGAGAGGAGGCTGTGGTTCCTGGGTCCGGTTTTCTCCATGAGCATTGGAGCCATTTTTGTCTACATCTGTTATGGTGAGGTTATACATGCTGTGATTTTTTTTTTATCAATCAACTTTTATTGGTTTTCTTCTTCCATTTATGTACATGCTATCTAAAGGTGTTATATCTGAACACTACTTCTGAGCATCCACTCTCATAAATTTGAATGATTTCACTAATTTGTCCCAAGAAAAAAAAATGAATGGGCGTGAAATTTCTTCACGATTACTTGGTATTCCACCATAAACACCTTGTCAGAGATGGTGCCATAAACCATTCAAAGGTATTCATTTTATAATAAGGCCACAAAAAATACCTTGTGCCCAGATGGTATGACTGATATCTGACTCCTAAATGGAATTGAGCATCTTTATGAAAGTTCACTGAGAATTTGTGATGCGACATTAACTAAATTTTCCACTGTGTCCTAAGGGTTGACAATTGCAGCATCATAGACTTTGAAGGAAAAATATCTTTCGTTAATTACATATAACCCATTACCAGTTATTCTTGTGGTTGTCTCAAGTGGTGCTTCTGGATTTGAATGGCTTGGCCTCCATTGGTTCCAGTCCTGGTTCTGTTCTGTGTGGTCAGAAACCCGTGGAGTGGTTGAAACTGTGATAACGATGATTGAAGCAATTAGGAAAATGTTATTTCTTGAGCCTTCACAAATTGTACTGCACATTTACTCCTTCTGTAGTCTATACAATGAGTCATCTATACCAGGTTGTATAGATGGTTGCATGGAAACGGAGAGAAAGTGGAGAGAGAGCCTTCAGCTTGATCCACCATATTGTGAAGCATCTCAATGTCCTTTGCATTCTGTCATAGAATACGTTGGGGTTCAGAACATGAGATCTTCTTGGAGAAAGCAGCCAAAGAAACTGTGGTAGCAGAAAGAACAGCTTTGAATACACCAGCCCTCCACCGAGGATCACCAGAGATGACAGAGCTTTGCCCATCCATGCAGATTTGTAGGTGGCCCTCTGCACTTGAAAGGCCAAAGAATTGGTATCGCTGGCATGTTTGCTACCTCAGACGGAAGAGGCAGGTGATTGAAAATTATACCACAATGATCACTATTTTGTTAGTAATTTTTCTGGAGAAACAAATACCCTGAGCAGCCAGAGCTTTCCTGTAGATGGTTCTGAGAAAGAACATCTACCTAAAATAGCAATATGGTTTAGCTACATAACTCTGAATGTTTCTCAGACACCCACGGTAATTCTCATCAAATACAAACTATATAATGAGCAAGCCATTCATAGCCAATGAAAGAAAAACAAGATGCATTACAGTCAATAGAAAAAGTCCAGAAGTAACCCATCACCATCAGAAAAGTGCATTGAAAAAAAAAAAGAGGTATATATCCATATAACAGTTCCCTGATATTGTCATAAAAAATATTAGCATAAACATCTAACAGAAGGATCATGACAAAATTAGAATGTCTTTTTATGAAAAGGCTATTTGCAAATCCATCTTCTTTCAAAGCTTATTTTGATACCCAAATAACACAAAACTATTTCACAAGTTAAGAAAATAATGTCTAGAATTATGAAACACATTCTCAATAGGCATGAAAAATGGTAGTTATCCCTCCCCTCCAAAAGGAAAAGGGTATCCTGTTGAATCACAGGCATAGACACTCAGCAAAAAAGTGAATGGAAATTGAAAAATATGCTATAGAGATGAAGAAATAGTGAAGGAAGTTTTCTCCTGCAGTCTGATCATACAGTTTATTTGCAGGTTGATCTTTTGGGGTCACCATCCAAGGGATTTTGGTTTCTCAAGTATCAAAACCATATTTTTTACAGATGGACCTACCCAAGACTGGGCCACATCCTGAACCCAGGAGACAGTGTACTCATAAAGCTCCAGTGATTTTGGTTATTTGATTTTCTTTCTGAAGGTATTAAAAAGAGCATAGAGGGGCTGGGGTTGTAGCTCAGTGGTAGAGCGCTTGCTTAGCATGTGTGAGGCCCTGGGTTCCATCCTCAGTACCACATAAAGATAAATAAATTAAATAAAGGTATTGTATCCATCTACAACTACAAAAAAACATTTTTAAAAAATTAAAAAAGAAAGAGTATTAAAATTAAAAAAGACTAAGCTCTGCAGAGATATCCAGTCTAAGGAATATATATTTTAAAGTTATAAAATAAAGAATGGAGTTCATTTGTTGTATGGCTGCCATATGCTCAGATGCTTTCAAAATCTGGGCTATTCTTTTAGATCCCCTCCTCCCTGGGTGCTATTCATTTGGGGATGAAACTCTGAAGTTTCAACAGGACAGACAGAAATTCAGTGACCTGGGAGAGCTCATGTAACACCCCAAGAGCCTTATCTCTAAGGAAAAGCAAAGCTGTGATGGAGTTACTTTCAAGATTCTCATTCTGTCCAGCAAAACCATAGGTCATCACAGGTTCATGTGAGAAACTCAGTCATCTGGCAGAATATTTGACCAAACTTGGTATATTTTAATTTTTAAAGAATATTCTTTTCAACTCAATTTTCATGTCTTAGTTCTCAAAAAGTTTTATAATGGTCACAAATTTGTATACTATTAAGCAGTTTCACTATTTGCTTTTAATAACTAGCACTGCCTTGTTTAAGTGAGCTAATATTCACCCTTCTTTTCAATGTCTTTTAATTCCATGTTTGTTAAAATTCTAGGTTTGTTCCTTTGACTTCAACCAGGTTTTGATTAAGACAACTCTTGAGTTCTCACTCCCCTGTTTTAAGCCTTTCTAGGCCCTTCTAAAAGCCTTCAATTCAGGGTCATTGGCAATTTTGAATTAATACTCTCTTAACCACTCTTCAAAAGCAAGGGCTTTTTTCATCCACATATTCCCAGCACCCAGCAGAGTAGGTACACAATGAGCATTTGTTGTGATGTTTTCACATGTCATTCTCTGACAAACCTCGATAACTCAAAGAGAATCTATAGTAGCCAATCTCACCGATAAACAAAATAGGAAGAACCTAAGGCATTTGGTTCACTTCTCCAAATATATTTAGGTTGTCATTAAAAAAAAAAAAAGAAATTGTATCTTATTTCTTCCTCCACAATCATATGAGGATATAACTAAGGGATCATCATAAGTCCACCCATTTTTCACATTGACTGTTTTCCAAGAGAAATACTGTCAGGTGTCACTTAGGTTAATTAGTAAAACTTGCATAACTGGTTCTACTGGAATTGATCATTCTTACTGGTGCTGGAGACAAAGTCTTCATCATCATCAATGCCTGATCCAGAAAAACTGACGTGTTTGTCTCTTTCATCTTCGTTCTCTTCATTTGGCTCCCAGCCTGTTGAAATGGCATTTGGATCCGTACCTGTTATGGTGACTTGCATTAGTGGTGGAGCTGGATGCCAAGTAACCCATTCGACAGAGGAAGAAAGTCAGGTACAGCAGGTGGAATGGATTTCCCAAGATTTCAAGAGGAAAGGGAGAGGGTTCTTGCGGACTTGCATCTGAATCTAATCTATAGATCTCAAAACAATTGCTATGATCTTTACAACAGAACCTTCACTTTAAGAAAGAATAAATATGGACACCGCTCCACCAAAGAAGTAAAAACAGAACACAGCAAACTAAAAGCAATGAAAAGATAGTCAAAAACTCCCCTGTGCTTTCAGATGCAGTTCTTAATAACTCATTATTCACATTCTTTAAAAGTTTGAGTTCCAAGAAAAGGGTGGAAAGGTTTCACATATGCCTATTTGCTTTACCAAGACACCTTCAGGAAAACTTTGAAATCATGTCAATCATTTCTAAAAGGTTACAGTGGCATTCATAATTTTCTAATTTATTTTTTTTAAATCTTTAGCATCAGATTATGTATCTCTCTAAATTCAAATGGAAGTAATGCTGTAATTCCCAACAGTACTTTGGCAGACAGAGAGGGGGGGAAAAAAAAGTCAATTAACAGAGAAATAATGTCTGGCATTTTATTAGTCAACCAGAAGAGACGATGAAAGTGGACTCCAGTCTAAATTCTTAGAACTTTTCCTTCTTTTCTTTTGGAATCAATCATAGAAAAGGAGATGGAAACTTTCAGCTTCTCAGTGGTTACTGCAAAAGACCTCTTTTTTTTTTTTTTTTTTTTTTTTTTTTTACTAAAAAGAGGTTTTCTGTATTCTGAATGAGGCTCAGGCTGTCTTATGAAATGACCATTTGCTTTGCATACCATTAGTGTCCATCCCAATAACGCAATTGAAGGAGGTTTTCTATATTTTCCTATCTCAGCTAGGTTATTTCATTTTCTCATAAAAAAAAGTTACAAGCTTTTATGACTTCAATAATTTTGGAGTAGGCATAAGCATTCTTTCAAAGTTATAATTTTGTTCTATCCTCAAGACAACCTGCCCCTGTTCATAGCTCCTCTACTATCCTCCTCCTAGGAGTTAGAAATCCCACAGAGAAGAAAGAAGAAAACTGCATATTAGTTCCATGTAATCAAAGATACCGATCTCAGAACTCATAGTCCTTCCAAAATCATCACAAATATTTGTGTGAACAGAATGGACTTTAGACTTGAACATTATCCCATATGGCAATGAAAATCATTAAAGATGGTCAAGAAAATATATAAGATAACCATAACTTATTACCAGACATTGTTGTTGAAAGAAGATGATTCCTGGACTCTGATGGTTGAAACAACCATGAAAGCCAGTCCTGGGCCTCTTGCTTCTTGGTTGCTGTTTCAGGAGCCGTAGCACTAGTGCTCATCAAAGCTGTGGTAACCATGACCGAACGGATTGTTGAAAAGTGAATTGTGAGTTCCTAAGAAATAGCATTGTGTATGCTTTCACTAATTTTTTTCCCTACTCAAGAGAATGAATCATCTATACTCAATAGATGGAAAGGTGGAAAGAAAGGGAAAAGGCCAAGAAGTTCCATTTCTTTCAGAGGTCTAGACTAGAATTCATAGAATGTCAGAGATGGAAGGACCTTGAATATTATCTGGCTCAAGCTCTTCATCTTAAAGATGAAAAAATAAAAGTGCTGGAAAAATTTGCTGACTTGTGTGAAGTCAGAAAGCTAATTAGCAACAGAGACACCTCAGAGCATGAGAGCTCTGAATTCTAAAAGTTTACAATGTGAAATGGGGAGGGAAATTTTGTCTCCTCTGCCATGATGCCGAACAAGGACCAGTGGTAAATATTTCAGGGAGATGGGTGTTCTTCCAACACCCATGCTACAGCTTCCTTTAGATTTAATGGAATAATATGAACTATCCAACAATGAACTTCTTTAAGAGGAGCTTTGTTCCCCATGATAAGGAAGATCACTTGGCAGGAAAGTTGTGTAAGTAATTAAATGATTAGAAATGCTGATTGAACCAGACTATTTAAGCTCCTCTCCAAATCTGAGCGTTTATGATTCTACACCCCAGGTCTTTAGAGTCCTAGCCCCTTAATCTTCCATACACTCTATCTTGGCTAACTAATATCATTCTCCAAGAATTTAGGGTATGATATTTCTGCCAGATATAATCCCAGGAATCCAAAACACAGGAAAAGAGAACATGTAAAGTAGGAGACTGAAGAAGATGTCTTTCCACTTTCTCCATGGAGACTCCAAATCCCCTAGGAACCTTGCCCAGAGTCATTTATTTTATATCAACACTATTATTTCACAAAGCAGAACAGTCCAGTTTTAGTCCCATTTGAATTGAAAATAGTATAGCAACACAGGAAAAGAGACAAAGTGACCCACTGATAAAACCAGAAGCAAGAATCTTGACTTGAAAATTTCCAAAGACTGACATTTCTGCCACCGTGACGTGCAACGGAAGAATATTGGATAAGAGGCGACAAAAAATTGAGAACAAGTTCAAGCAGAGAGGCTGAAACCATCATTAAAATCCCAAATACAAAAGACAAGTGAGATTTCTTTTTTCAGATTTCAAGAAAGCCCAGAAATGATCCCAAAAGAAACACAGCCAAAGAAGACCTTTTCCTTCACACTATTTTTTTTTCTGCAAAGGTCAACACTGTAAACATTCAAAAATGGCCTTTTCAGTGTGCTGCAATCTCTTTCCCACCTGACCCCAACATATCCTAATCAGTGTGTCATGGAACCATAACATAATAACATAACATAGCACGGTTGTCATAAGTGATTATTTATAGAAGTAAAAGATATAGTTTATTCTGTCTTAAAAGCAAATGTGAAGTATCATCTTTCTATTTTTATTTCTTCCCTTTTGCGGAGAGGATGTCTGCTTATTTTGAAATATGATCATATTCTCCATCAGCAAAAACTAATAAATGGAGATATGCTTCTAAACCCCCACCATTGTTATAGACAAAACCTTTCTCCCTGAAGCTCCCACTTTAAAATACTTTGCAGGAATTTAGAAATCATAGGCAAACCTCCAAGAACCTGTAGGCGACCTAGACTCTGATGTAGAACCACATCATTTTCTACCTTACAGTAAAGGTTTGAAGTATCCAAACAAGTGTCCAGGGCCTGCCCTTTCCAGGTGTAAATCATGGTTCCCTCTTTTACTACTAACTGTGATAACTGGGTCAGCAGGAAATAAAGGTGTGCATCTTCCAATAGACTTTTTTCCTAGAAGATATTTTTCTCAATGAATTGCATAATCAAAGCATCTGAAGGAAAAATAATTTTGATTCCACATACATGATGCCATAAAAAGAACAAATTAGGTATTTAGGGGATCTTGTCATATCCCCAGAGCTATTGGCTTCTGTGACAAGGGAAACAGCAGCAGATCCTGCTCTCACTAGTGATGCTGAGGGACCCTCAGTGGGACACTTGGGCATGATAATGGATATTTTTTTTCTTATCATTAAAAGACCTGGCATTCAAGACTATCTATGAGCAAAAGACAGCGATTTACCTGTGGCTGCTGTTGTTGTGAGATCCTGAGTCTTAGGCTATGAATTACCAAACCAGGACCATATCCAATTACTTCTCTTCTGAGCTGATGCACGGCTGTTTGAGTGCACAGTGGAGGTAACTGGATCGATTATGAAAACATTGTTGAGTGAGATTCTCTCTGTCAGAGTTTACTCTCCATTCTATATCAAACATCTGTATCTCTTATAGAATGAAGATTAAAGAAGAGATATTGAGGTGTTTTTTTTTTTATCTTTCTGGCCTTCTTTCTAACATCTCCCAACATCTTAGAACAACATCAGAAATGCAAATTTGTATGGGTATCAATCCAGTGCTTCTCAATCTCCCAATTGAACCTCCTATAATAATGATTAGAGCAAAAATCAAGCCACAGCTTAATACTGCAATGGCAGGAGATTTGTTTTTTTCTTGACTGAGTGACTGGACCATGCAATATGCTAGAAGGTCTTCAATGCAGCATGACATAAAGTTGCTTTCATTCATTCACCTTTGGAGTATCTTTGGAGATGCTTGCATATATCATTTGGATCTATCTAGCAACACACCCAGCTTGTGACAACAACTGGGACTTCAAAGCTCTACCCATACACATCAAACTCAGACCACACTTTATACTTGAGCAAGAATATCACGAAGGGTGTGTGTTCCAAGTATTGAAATCACATCAAACTTTCTCAAGTATCCACTCATCACTTTCTGTCACTTTGGATTCAATTCAGTCCGTGTTTCCAGACAAGAAGCAAAAATGTCAAAGTTAAAGATTTTGAACTCTACTCAAATTAGAAAAAGGATAACAGTAGCATTTTGTAATTTAAAAATCTCTCACTTGACTCTCAACTTGGACTTGAGTCCAAAATGTTTCTCCATAAAAACAGAAAGGTAAAAATCATCAGGACAAATACATAAACCAGCTGAGATTATTAAGACATATTTCAAAAGTTGAAAATGTGATACAAATTAAGGCCTCTTCCTTCAAAAAAGTGACCCTATACATAAACACTCAACATTTTGTGCGTTGTTTCAAGTGGTTCCTGAATATCTTCTCATTATAAACTTTGGCGTTATACATGCCAAATTCCTATAACAGGCACAACATGGTCCATGCTATAAAGGACACATTAGTTCAGAACAGAAAGCAGAGAGATAAGAGCCAATTTCCCTTATTAGGTCCCCAGTAAACCTGAGCATCCCTTAGAAAGCCCATAGACACCCTGTTCTCACCTCAGTAACTTTATGAAAATAGCTTAGTGCCTGCCACTTTCACCCTACAGTACACCAGGAAAAAAATAGCAACAAAGGAAATGAATATACAAGAGCAAGATAGAAATAGGCATTATTTTCATCTTCCTGAAAGGAGTCGTATGAGAGGGAAAGATGAAAAAAACTACAGCCTCGCCAGCACTTTCCAATTTGCCCCACCCAAGTACGCCATGCCAAACTAAAAGAAAAAAAAATTACTTGTTTGACACCCAGAAGACAAGGAAATTGAGACTTCCAAAGCAGGAGTTGGCTTCCTGGATTAGTTTTGGTTTCTTGATTCCAGAAAGTTCCAATCACCAATAGGAAGGCACCGATTGACACATCTCCAGGAGGGCTCTTCCAAAAATAACAATTATGATAAACAGCCCACGGGAAGTCCAGAGCCGTGTAAATGGTTGGTCTTGTTAGCTTTCCCTTTGCCACCCACTAAGGACCCTTAAGAAGGAATGAAGCAGTCAAGCCAAAGACAAGCAGCTTCAGCCAGCCCTCCTCTTGACCTCTGCCTCCCTGCATGCATTAGGGAGGATCTGCAGACACTGCCTCTGGCTATGGCCCAGCTCAGTCCAACGGTGATAAGGCCAGGGAATCTCCTTCCTGGACTCAGAAAATCTGATTCTACTTAGGAGCTCAGCATTGTTAACTCTTCCCAGTATGCCACAAGCTGCATTCAAGTTTCCACCCGGCTTTTGTTTGTTCTGTTTTCTTGTCTTTGTTTTGATATCCTTCTTTGCATGGATTAATCTCTTGGAGCTGCCGTTGGCCTTAGTGAATCCTAGAACACTTCAATAATTCTCCACTTAGCTCTGGACTCACCCACATGGACAAATTGGTTTCTCTCTTCTGTCCTGAACTATTAAAAGAAACAGCTAAGTGCTCTGTAAGGAGGAAAACATAATTATTCTCTTAAGTATGTTTTTCTTTTCCTTAATATCTGAACTAGCATGTTGCATCCATCAAGGAAGGACTAACATTGAGCCCCAGTAACCAAAGCAGTGTCTGGCGCAGACTCCAAATCTTGGTTGAATAAATGAAAATCTCACTCAAACTTATTCTTTTCAATATTACTTTCTAGGGTTTTTACCATTGGATCCCAAGCATTAGAATAGACACTGCACATAGTAGGTCCTCAAAACACATTTGCTGACTGAGTAACTTAGAAAAGATGCTAATAAAAATGTGATAATTGCCTTTTCTAAAGCCCAAGGGGGTGGGGGGCTCATCTCATCCCCACAAGATGTATTTTGTCAGGATTTTCTTCTTTGGTGGGAAATAGGACTTTAGAACTATTCTACTTCCTGCTGACACCCCTAATTATTGTATTTGCCAGTGTCTAACAGAACTGTGCACCGTAACAACAAAGTGATGTTAAAAAGGCCAGCAACCAGCCTGGTGCTGGGCGAGTGCCTGTGATCCCCTACTCCAGAGGCTAGAACAGGAGGATTGCAAGTTCAAGGCCAGCCTCAGCAACTTAGCAAGATCCTGTCTCAAAAGAAAAAAAAAATTAAAAGAGCTGGGGGTGTAGCTTGGTTGGTGTAGTGTCCCTGAGTTCAATCCCCAGTGCTAAAAAAATATTAAAATAAAGGCAAGGCACCCAGGAAGCATCAGGCAGCCCGTGGCACTATGGTTTCCAGATGTTTGTCTTGAGAAGTGTTGCCCATAGAACCACAAACAAAACCACAGGAAAAACATACTTAAGAAGATGGGTGCCATCTTCAGAGAGCCCAGGCCCAGGAACACATGGGAAATTTGAATAGATGCACTTTTTGAGATGCTTCAAAGAATCTGCCGGGAATAACCAGAACCCCAGACCTACTTGCATCATTCTCTCATCAAGTTTCTAACAGAAATTTAAAAATGCCATTGAGCAAATAACCTTAAATTAAATCAGAGCCATGTGGAAACTTCCCTGGCCTCTGGGTGATAAGGGATAGAAAAGACCTCATCTTGAGTATTGACAAACAAGTATATTTCTGCCACACTGTCTGGAGGCGGGAGTGTCACCCCTCAAGAGCTGAAGCCAGGAAAAGAGAAATCAATTGGCACCATATTAGGAAATCCACCCAAGACCCAGTTGCACTATTTAAGTATGAATAATTCCCACAGGAGCAGAGCCCATCTGGAAACCTGCTGAAAACAAATCAGAGGGGGACAGAGGAAAGTGAAAAACGAGAGAGAGGATGTGCAATAGAACTGCAGCCAATGGCATGAGACCAGAGCCACCAAATGCAGCACTTGCATCTGTCCTCTCTTACGGTCTTAAGTAATGAACGACCCACACACCAGGTAAGCATTAAGGACCTTCCCCGCAGGCTGGCATCTAAACTCTGAAGCTGATATAATTTGATCATAAAACTCCTCCTTAGACCCAAAGCAAAGGAATTGTTTAGCAAATCACAATTGATGATTACGAATTAATATCACACCATGAATGACTGTAAATATGATATACATTTAGGTAGAAAAAGGAGCCTATGGAATGGTATTCGTTCTCGGCACGCCCACCTTTATGGAAACAATCGTATCTACAGTGAGTAAGAAGAAAGAAGCAAAACCAAAAGTTGTTTCTGTATCGGGTTTGAACCCTAACTATATCCCCAGAGATCAGAGCATCAGGGAGGGTGGTGGGGGGTCTTCTAAAACACTTCCCGTGGCACTTCTTACTCCAAGGTAAGAAACACACAGTTGTAGACAGACAGACAATTGCAGGCCGTGGTTGTCGAGGCATATAGAGCATGGACCAGCACGGCCACCCACCACCCCAATGACGTCACCACCGCCTCCACATCTGAGACAAAAGAAAATCAAAACTCAAGGGAATATGGCTCAGGAGATCCCAGGTGTGTTGCCAAGGAATTGCTACTGGGAAGCAGAAGGGCTCCTCCTCCTTACTGGTGGTGGGGTTGTTCTCGGAGACCCCGGCGTCCTCTTGGTCTGTGGACGGTTGTGAAGTGGGCAGGTGGGTGTGGAAGATGGTGTAACCCCCCGAAGTGCTCCTTTCGCTGGAGGAGCCGCTGCTCATGTCCTCGTCCATAGGTTGGCTGGGGTTGATGTCTTCCTCGTGCGTCCTGTATTCGCCTTTCTTGCTGTAGCGGGTCCCATCGCGGTTGACAATGGCTTGGGAGAGAGAAGGGCACTTTGAGAACTTTACAGCTGATATTTTTTGAGTCTTGAAGAAAGACTGAATTGTCATATAGCACAGTGGCTTTGAAACTCTTCTTCTGTAGGATGGATACCTTTCTATCTGGTGAGGAGACATGGGGGGTTGCACCCAGAAAGTACATTCTTCTCTGCTCTCCCTGCACCCCATCCCACACAGCCTGGAAATGAGCAGGAGAAAGAAGAGGTTCTGGGGAACCCTCATATTTGAATCCCAGCTTCATGTAGCTCTGGATGAGGCACAATTGTGAGCTTAAGTCCTCATTTCTAAAGCAAGTGCAATGTCACCTTCTGGATAGAATTATCACGAGCCTTATGACATTGTGAGTAAAGCATTCAGCACAGTATTCAAAATAAATGAATGCTCTATAAATGATAATTCCCTACCTGGTTCCTGACTCTGCCTTCTGAAGGTTGTGTATAGTGTGTTGTTATTAACTCTATCCATTTCCAGAAAAGATTTGAAGTAGCAGACTAGTAACCTCCACAAGGAAGGCATGGTTGCAAACCCATGAAGGAACAGATTTTCTTTCTAAAGGGCAAATTTTGTCAGTTGAAGCAAACCTCCACTCTAAGCTAGGAAATCAGTGTGTCTAAATATTGACAGAGGCTCTGCCATCCTCTGTGAAATTTGACCTTGATGTTAACAAACACGGATGTACATAAAGATCTAAATCTTTGGTTTAAACAAGTAAATGGCTAGAATGGACTAGAGGGGGGAAAAGTTCAGATGAATTTATTCATTGTTCCTGCTTTAAATATGTGCTGCCTTCAAGTCTGGGCCACTCACTACATGCATGTGAATTTAGCAGAAATTATTTTCTGCTGAATTGCATCAGTGCAACTGAAGTTTCCTTTTGTCCACTATCTAGCTTGCTCAAGTGGAACTATGAAAAAAAAAAAAAAATTCCCAAATCTCAGTCTCCCTGATAATCTCTGTAGATGATCTGAGGAAATACGAAGACCATCTAAGGCCATTTTCTGTAACTGTAACAAGATACTTCAGAACAGGTAATTCATAAAGAATAGAAGATTATTTGGCTCACAGTTCTAAAGGCTAGGAAGTCCATGTTCATGAATATGAACATGGTTCACAGCATCTTGTGAGGGGCTTCTTCTTGTATCCTAATATGGCAAAGGGTATTACCCAGTAATGATTCAGAGCAGTGTGCTTGCTCAGGTCTCTCTTCCTGTTCTTATAAAACTATCGAGGCCTCACCTTCATGGGGGCCCATTCTCTTGACCCCCTCCATCTAATCCTAATTATTTCTCAAAGACTCCATCTCCAAATACCATTAACATATAAATTTGGGGGTTGTTTCCCACATGTGAACTTTTGAGGGGACATATTCAAATATACCACTGATCAAACATGTACAAATCTGGGCTTTGAAAGGGATCTGTGGGAATCAAGGTATTTATTGTGCATTTACTATGGACCAGGCACACAATAAATGTATTTCTTAAGTTTTATGACCATCTTTGCATGTCATTCGATTATACATAAGAGAAAATTGAGGCTCAGAAAAAGTAAGGCATTCCTCTATTGTCAGCCAGGTGGTTAAGGAAGTAAGATGTCAAACTGGCCCAATTGATCTAACACATCTCACATTGTACTATTGCTGTGTGAGGCTACCCTTCCTGCAGCAAGGCACAGGCCAAAGACAGATTCTTTACATAACAGGGGAGGCTGAATTTGTATGGTCCAGGAAGATGCCCATCACCCACCACTACTACCACCAAGCCCAAGCACCGTGGCTCTGAGCAAGCAGAAAGCAGATTTCCTCAACACTGTGCTACTTACCAAAGAAATGAATCCCAGGTACAGTATGATCAGGGTTAATGGGTTGAGATATTAAAAAGTTCTGGTTAAGATTTTTTTTTGCTTTTAAAAATCCCATATACATACTTCTGCAGATAATCAAGATGATTGGGAGTGGGCATGGTATAAATAATGCCACAACACATATCAGGAAGTTTTAACCCTTTATAATTATCTTTCAAAACTTGAGTGATAGTGAACATAAAATTTACATTTTGGAGCCCGAATGCCCCTGTCCTTGACACTTCTTAATCCTTCTTTATAAGAGAAGGATTCGGGTGTCAGCAGCTGGAACTTTAAAATATTATTTAATGTTACTTATGTTTAAATTTATTTTTAAGGTTATCTTCTATTTATGACAAGTGGTGTGAGTTTTCCATTTGCTAACTAGCTTTTATTCTTTTTAAATAAATAAATTTATTTTTAAATAAATAAATACAAATATATTTTAAGTAGAAGAGAATAGGTCAAATAAATTAAAAAAATATATATCAGGTAAAGTGAGAGTGCTGTGTAGTACTTAGAGATATGCGTCCAGAATGTGAAAGTGGTTTCCAAATGACTGAAGATTGAGGAACACTGCTTCAGGATAAACCAAAAGGGGAAGGAACCCTGAATCAGAGCCAACCTTCCCCAGCCCTAGGGAAATGACTAATATTCTATTCAAATATAAACCATAGAGAACACACCGGATGCCCTTCCCAAGAAAGAGAAAACTCAAGATGAGAAGAGAGACTTACTTATGGTAACTATGCCATCAAAGGAATTGGGCAGGTCTGTGACTGATGTACAATCTTCGTCGAGTGGAGCTGGGAAGTAGGGGGGAAAAAAAAAGCATGAAAATTCTAAAAAGTCACTAGTAAAATTGACTCCATTTCTATATAGTAAGAATGGGATTTTATTAAATTTATCCTAAGTGATTTTCTTTTTGTGAAACTTGGTATTTTGCTAGAAAGTTCTCTGCCCTTTGTGGTGCACTTTCCATTTTTGTTTAATTTCATAAGGTCCTGAAAACTTATTACCTCTCTCCAACAATTTTATTTATTAAAAAAATCTGTGTTTTCTGTATCAGCCACTATGGAAGGCTGAGGGTTTAATTGTGAACAAGACAGACATGGGTCCTTCTCTAGTGATATATATACTAAAGAAGATTTTAAAATTTTTCTACTGTAAAAGTAATGTGGGATCCTGTAAAAGTTTTTAAAAAACAAAGAAACATATAAACTATCATGAGAAAATTATTTGTAATCTCAGGCACCAATAGAAATGATGGAAAAACATGGCAGACATACGGTTAGCATGAACACCACGTTGATCTGCAGATTAAAAGAGTCAATAGGGAAATTGCCTGATCAAAATATTTTAAAACCAATTAATTTCTAGTCTTGGTATTAATTATTATTAATATACTAATTACTTTATTAATTAAGTACTTTATTACTTCATTAATTTAACTGGTCTTCCTAAGTACCTAATCCGTATAGACTGCGTCTCAGCTGAGGTCAGCCATCTTGGACATAGGCACCCAGAATAACTCTTATGAATATTGTCTTGGCATATCTCATCATGGGCACCCCTGAATTGTTTTTCTTTTGTTCTCCATTTATCTTCTCCTTTCCCAACCCTTCTTCAAGATTTCTGGGCTGTCTGATCATCCACAGATATTGCTGGGAAACCCTCTGAACAGCATTGTCTGAAACCTTTGGAAAACAGGCATTGAAGTTCTACCTGCATGCCATCCCTGGAGTCCTATAAGCAGGCTGCAGAGAGCCTAACCCACCATCCCACTCATGCATGTCATGCCTTGTATTGGCCCCTAAAAATTCAGAGAGCTTTGAACTGGTTTTGCTGTTAAAGGAAGCTTGGATTTATTTGTGCATTACAGCTTTCATAGTATGTGTGTGTGTGTCTGTATGCATGTGTGTGTGTTTGAGCACACATGCATTTGCTTAAATGTAATATGGCAGTATATCTGTATGGTTGGTTTCTTCTGGAGTTGCTTCTTGACAAACAAGAAGGAAAAGGGAGAGAGGGAGGGATGGATGGATGGATGGATGCATGCATGCATGCATGCATTTGTGCATGGGGGAATGGAGGTAGACAGACTGCTGTCACAAGGAGAGCTGCTATCACAAGCATTTTAAGTATCTTGCCATAAGTTGTTGGATACTCAGCATTGCTAGGCAAAACAGGAGTTGGTTGCTTCCCAGTATCTCTGACATCCTTTTCCCACAAGTAAAGGGAATATCTTTTACCTGACCATATCTTTGGTCTCATCGTGAAAATAACTAGCAGATTCTTCAAAGGGAAAGGTCACCTCCTTGGTAGGGTCATTCCTTACCAACTAATTTAAACCAGCCTTTCGTCACTTCCACACACCCCAACGTGTATCATCTTGCTTTAATTTATTCTTCTTGTTCACCATTGTCTAAAATTATCTCTCTCGTTTTACCTGATGGCAGTCCATGGTGGATCTTACCATGGCCCCTATCTCCTGCTACCACTGCCCATAGGAATTTATAAGCTCCAAAAGATGACTAGTAAGTGTGGGGGTGGGGGGGGGGCGTCGCTGCAGATGGAACCCAGGGTCTCGTACATGTTAGGTAAGTACTTTACCACTGAGCCACACTCCCATCCTGAGGATTAATCTCATCTATTGGCCAAAATAGTTATGTGTGATGGGAACAGAAAAGCACTTAATAAATTTTTGATCAATTAATAAAAAAAGGCAAAAACCACCAATATAATTTCCCAAAGGCCCATTCTCCCAGGAAGCATACCAAAGATGGTAACTCCCCCAAATGGTTTGCAAATATGAGCAGGTCAAGAAGTGTGTAGATATACTCTGAATGGTATGCCATAAGAAATGTTAAAGGAAATTACAGGTACAGGTGTTCATTAATTATTTGTCAGTATTTGCTTGACACTTCTATGCCAAGGCATTTAAAAAAATATGGAGATAAAAGAACAAACGAACACATTTCTGTCCCTTTTCCTGAGCAATTCACAAAGTTATAGGAGAAGATAGTACTATTTCTTTAGCTCTTTACAATATGAAAAAAATCCTCCAAAATTTTCTTATTTGAAAACACGATCATGTAGCCAACTTGGGCGATTTGTGGGGCTTCCATCCTGTTTATCTTGGAGATGCTGCCAGAGAATGGTCCCATCTTTGGGATGATTTTGGTATTTGTATGCTGCAGATGCCCAGAAATGGGTTTTGGATTATGGATGTTTTATGCCAGGGATGCAGCATCCTCCCCTCAATTCAGACACAATGGCAGATGAGAGGGGCACACTGAGAATCTCCTAGAGATACATTGAAATGGGATGGGGCACGTCAAGACCACTAACCATTCTGTGAATGGTGACAGCGTGTGCTCACACAGACCCCCTTCATGCTCCATTTCACCTAAACTTTGATAAAGAACATCAACTCTAGCAAGTATACTGTGATGGATGGTGACCTAAATGTCCAATTAATATATTCATGCTCCCATGTCAGATCATGGGACCTCATTAGACAGCTTTTCATTCTGCTTAATGAGCTCTGCTCGGCTGGGAGAGTTAGCCGCTGAGGTGTCCCTGAACCCAGGGATTTGTTAGACACTAAGGTGGGCTTCCTGGTGGGCTTTTTCAAGTGAATTAACATCCCTCTCTCTAAGGAGAGAAAAGCTAATCAATGCTATTGACCCTGGCTTTGGGAATGAACCCAACATCGTGGGCAAAATTAAAGGCAAGGAGAAAAGCCTCATCCATCTCTGCCTACAGGGCTTTGATTCCAGACCCAGAAAACAGCATGAGCTTTTGCCTTTTTGAATGAAGAGTCTCAAAACCTTAACCAAGGCGACATGGACTTGTAAAACAGGCAAGAGAAAATGAAACACAACTACATACTTCACTAAATACATTTCCTGGTCACAGCAAGGAGAAGCAGCAAGCAGTGCCCAGAGGCTTGGAGTCTGCAGGCCCATGCCAGCCCTTACACTTGACCAGTCCCTTTATCTCACTTCTCATGCCAAGATGGATCAAGCAGTCCCCACGTTGGCTGGGCATGGAGCTCCTATTTATCCCCATGTGGTCGTGTTCATTAGGATAGCCTTAGACATTCCAGGCATGGGCCACATACTGTCTAGCCTCCATTGGACTTTTCCCCTTTTGATCAAACTCTTTTTGGGTCCTCTATCCATGCAACAGAGAGGAGCCAATGTTCTACAGCTTTCTTCTCATCGTTTTGAGTGTCTCTCCATAGTTGTAGTAACCTACATTGTAGTTGTAGTAACCTATATAGGCAGAATTCACCAACTTCACATACTCTGTTTTTACTACCCACTGTGTATTTTTTCCTTTCCCCTAAATTCTAGATTTCCTCTCTGAATCCTCATGCGGATCCTTCAAGGTCCTGCAATAATAGGTGGGTGGCACAGCCTGATGCCAGCCCCTGATGCAACCCCACAATGACTGCAATGGCCCTTAAAATTTCATGCAGATTTTATATTCTACTACCGTAGATGATATCTATATTTTTTCATATAGTTTATGTTTTAAGTCACTTTAGAGCTAATTTAGCATCCCCTTCTCACCTTTATAGAAAACTGACACTTCATGAAGATGTGTCATGTTTACCTTGAAGCTTCACCTTTTCCTTTAATGTAGCTTCAAACCTTCAGGTGGAACAGAAGGCTCAGTTTGAGAAGTCAGACTTCTGATTGTTGGCATTGAAATATTTGACATTTATGGAAATGATCCTTCTCAAAAGACCCTGAGGACTCATAATACATAGAATTGTTCGATTTTTCTGGGGCTTGAATTAGATGTGTGAGCACGAATTTCTGGGCTAGGGGTTGGAAGAGTTGCATAGATGGGGAGCCGACCAGCATCTACACCTTCATTTAACTTTCTTATTCTCTAGTTGTGTAGTTGTGTCAACTGTTGGGTAAGTGACATTCAAGAAGGTGGATGGTCAATCATGCACTCTCTTAGCTTCCTCTCAGTCCCATATATAATAAATATTATCAGCTAAACCATTTGGCTTGCACCCCACTATTAGATCAATGACTTTCCCTTTACACTGAATGAATCACCCTTCGTGAGCTGGCCCCTGCCGACCCCTCCGACTGTATTCCCTGGCATTCACCCTTCCGATCACTGGACTTTAGCCACCTTGGCCTCCTCGATGTCCTTGGAACAGGACAGGCTGCTCCTGCATACCTGGCTTTGCACTGGCTGCCCCTTCTGACAATGGCTTCATGCATCACTTTGATCAGGGCTCCTAAATGCACCTACTCGGTTAAAAAAAAATAAATAAAAGCATTCCTATCACTTTTTAACCTTTTATTTTACTTTGCTTTCTTTTTGAGCACTTACAGCATTCTGCGTTCATAGTAAGTATTTAATATTTATGTGTTCATTATTTGCCTCCCCAACTTAGCACCTTCTCTCTGCTGTAGAGATAGTCAGTGAGCGCCTGCTAGATGATAGAAGCTACATAAATCCCCACATATGGTGACACTGAACTGCTGTCATCCAACCATGCTGCCACAGGCCACACAGAGACGGTGCACGTAGAACCAACCTGAAGCGTTGAAGCAATACGTGTCATAGTGAGAGGTGTTGGAGGTGAGGATGTACACTCCTGTGTTGTTTGCTGCACAGATGGCATTGGGATGGATCCGGGGAATCACCACATGGCCTTGTATGAACCCGTACCTTCCACGGAAAAGCAAGAGGTTACTGGCCTGCATGGCTGCTGTGGGAATTTCATAATATCCCATCAAATGACATTTAATGCAGTGTAGCATTTCTTTCAATTCAACCCTAGGGATGTTAGAGGTTTCAACAACTGAGTTATGTGAAATCCCATAATAACATCACAGTAGAGTAAAAGAGATCAACCAGACTAACAGAAACAAAGTTATCTTATTTACAGATCCATGAACAGCCTTTACTTTTTCTTTTTCTGTTTTCTTTTTTTTTGGACCAGGGATTGAACCCAGGGATGTTTTACCACTGAACCACATCCCCAGCCCTTTTATAAATTTTATTTAAAGACAGGGTCTCACTGAGTTGCTTAGGGCCTTGCTAAGTTGCTGACACTGGCTTTGAACTCACAATCCTCCTGCCTCAGCCTCCTGAGCTGCTGAGATTACAGGCATGTGCACCATCCCCAGCTATTTTTCTTTCCAAATAAATAAAATTCATGAAAGAAAAAAAATAAGCAGTAGTTCCAAACAAAACTTGTGGTCAAGTTGGTTGGAACAAGCAGAAGGAAACTGAGTCACAGAAAAGTGATGAGAGATTCACTCTGGCACTCGATGACCATTATATTTTTCAGACAAGACCTAAGAATACCACTCCTATGATACAGGAAGGGTTGGCTCTTCCTTTCAGGGCACAGATTTCATATCTGCCTTACTTCCTCTCCACCATTCTTCTTTCCCAGCTTACCTTATTCTGGGAGTCCCTCACTTCACACTCCATTATTCTAAACATAAACCCTTGTTCATATGCCAGGTGCATAGCATATGGTCTCCTGAGGATCCTGTGCACAATTCCATTGCCAGTGGAAATAAATTGACCACCATTAAAATGAGAGAAAGAGCAATTAAGGAAGTAGGTAGCAATGGCTCATTTAGTTAGAGAACATTTCAACACAGCAAAGGGGTGGTGGTGGGAGGGGATGTTTAACCCTTCTCCCCCTTCCAAGGTGTCTCTGGAAGCATGTTATGTGCTGCTGGAGGCCCTTTCATTACAGCATGCAGTGCCCAGCCTCTTCTAGCAACATGCTAGTGGCTACATACTCATGACACAAGTTCCCCCCCCCCCCAAATAGCAAATGACTCAAAAAATGAGAACATGCCATTTTCAAGGGAGGGGATGATGGCAGCGGGAGGGCAGAGAGGGAGAAGCTAAATCCAGCAGGTTTCTGAAAATGCAGCGCTGACTAAAAGGTTCTGTGCAGATCCTTTAATCTTTCCTGCCAGGGGCAACAGCACAGAGTGCGTGGCCCTGCAAGATCCATGGAAATGTGTGTGAGTTGGAAGTTTCTAAGCACACAGAGCTCATTACGTCTATGTTGTAACGATAGCTCAGATGACTAATTCCTCCTCTGAACCAACAGACTGATTTTCCCAAAGTTTTCTTAGCTGGGGGGGGGGGAGTGTCACAATTAAATGTTAATAGGTTTTCATGTATCTGAGTGTTGCTACTGATCAGGGCGGGGCAAGTGAAAGAAGAGTAGCTGCTGAGGTTTTATTCTTACCCGTGAGACTCTGCTATCTGTCCTGTGGCAGGTGTCTGATTCAGAGCTATCTGAGTGAAATTATGGAAAGGAGTTTTGCAACACTTAATACTAGTGACAGGTGAAATGATCTATTTCTTTGGCTTGGTTTTACTTTTTTATTTTTGCTAAATAATACTCCTTGGTGAACCTACCTCCCCACTCACCCTACCGCATCATGTCACATTGACAAGGAAGTACAACACTAATGTTCTAGAACACACACTTGCTTTGTAAATTATTACTGATATTTTCTCATATCATGTTGTCTGTGATTTTTTTTTTTTTGGTACTGGGGATTGAACTCAGCGGTGCTTAACCACCGAGTCACATCCCCAGCCCTTTTTGTATTTTATTTAGAGACAGGGTCTCACTAAATTGATTAAGTTGCTGATGCTGACTTTGAACTTGCAATCCTCCTGCCTCAGCCTCCTGAGCTGCTGGGATTACAGGCATGCACCACCATGCCTGGCTATCTGTGATTTTTATGTGGTGCACTATATACAAGCTGAGGATATTAAAATTGGTGTGTGTGTGTGTGTGTGTGTGTGTGAAAGAGAGAGAGAGAGAGAGAGATGCACAAGGAGGAAAGAAATGTTCAGCAAATCAGTACAGCATACTTAACTCCCCTCTTCCCCTCAGGAAAGCTTGATCACTAAAATCTTGTCCTGGGCTCAGACTAAGGAGACCAAATCCTGACTCCTGTGCAAGCTGTGTGATTTAGGAAAAGCTGAGGAATTTACCTAAGCCTCAGTTCTTTATTCATAAAGATGGGTAGTAAAATCAATCCACAGCATGGTTTAAAGACTAAGTGGAAGATGTAGCAGGGCTCCCAGCACCTTGGCACTCCCTGATGGCCCTGACAACAAGATCTCCTCTTGGTTTCAGCATATGAGACCACCTCTCCGTCTCTCAAAAGACTTGTCTATATTTCACAGTCAAAGTGCAACTTACTAAATCCACTTTCTTAGCCTAGTGGCCTAGTCAAAGCCAAATTCAAACAATTAACCTTGGGTATCCAATAAATGGATTTTCTAATTGGTCTTCTTTCATCTCAGTTTCCGTAGGTACAGGAGAAATCTTCCTCCCTCTGCTCCTTTTACATTCTCCAGACTTAGCTCTGTATAGACACAGAGATGTCAAATACATCTGCTCTTTGTTTCAGAGTGTTACTGCTTGAGAGTACTTTCTTCCCTGATGCAAATGTTCTGCATATAATTTGTGTCCTTCAATACAACAACCACTTGCCATTTGTGGCTAGTTGAGCATTTGAAATGTAGCCAGAGTCACTCAAGTTTTCATATTTTTTAATTTTAATTAATATAAGTAGAAATCAGCACATGTGGTTAATGGCTACCATATGAGAACCTTCATAGACTAAAGATTTTCCCCTTCCATTTTAGGAAAAGAATCTCAGCTACCTCTCATGAGGTGAATGCATGACTGTACCCAAGGGCAGGGGACAGCAGCATTTAACTTACACTTAGTAGTTTTCATAAAAAGTGCTGTAGCTTGACTTTGCAAAAGCAGCCTGTGTGTATGTGTGTGCATTGAAGAGAAAGGGGACCCACTTTTCCAGAACCACAAGCTAGAGTGGAAACTTCAGAGGGTTTACTAACATTACCCTGACCTCCTGTAGTGAAATTAAACCAAACCAGGCACTCCGCTGTGGTTGTCACCATGGCTTGCTCTTTGTGTGCAACTTTGCCATAATAATTTTAAAAATAAGGCCCCTGCCTGTTGTGATTACCTTAGAACAAACGAACAAACTGATTTGAGGAAAGCTCTACAGAGCACTGGGATCCCTGAGGCATATAATGATGTATCTTAATGGAACATATGCTAAACTATTTCATGGCTATTTATTGACTTTTTCAAACCAAAGCAACATAAACACACACACACACACACACACACACATACATACACGTTTGCAAAACATGCTTTGGGCCAAGTTTGCAGGGCCAAGACTCAACCAGCCACATATTTATTTTAAACACTGTTATTTGGTTTAAGTTTTCTTGTGGTTCCGACAATGATATTGCATGCTTCTTCAAAGCCAGGAGAGCGCTGTGGAAGCACATTACCCAAGAGGATTCCAACCGATATGACCCTTCACGTCTTCCTCAGGCCTCCCTCTCTATGACTCACAAAAGTGTCTTTAGCTGACTTGAAATTCCAGTTGTCAGGCTGGTTTCACATGGACTTGGCCAAATTAATAGGTGGGGCTGACTGGTTAGGTAATAATCCATTCAGCTGCCGGGGAGGGGCCTTCGGTTCTAAGCCCCGTCCCCTGGACCCAGACCACTGGCTTTCCCAGTGGTGGGTGCTGGTCCCTTACCTGCAGGTCTCAAATCCCTTGGCTAGAGCCTGTTGCATCTGGGCCATGGTGGGCAGGGTACTGTTGAAAGCCTTGCAGAGGTCAGGTGCCTCCGTCCGAGAGATGCTGTAGCGACCGTTTTTCTCCACATGGAATACACCTGCGTAGCGGCAGGTTATATTCAGATCTGTAGGATGAAACAGAAACGTCAGTTCTTTTGCAGACTATACTTTGCATCAAAATAGATGAACAATAGGAAGCTTCATTTTAGGGAAGACTCAGGAAATATTCAAATAAACATCTCTACTGACCAGAGCCTTCAAGATTCACTCAGGCACATCAAAGGAACATTCCATAAGTTCAAATTTGAGATGAGACATGGTAAATAAAGCACATCATGCTTACGGTCCCCATTGGTTACTACCCAAAAGAGTTTTTTTTTTTTTAAAAAGCATCTGATTTAAAGTAACACAAACTCATGGAAACCTTACAAAATTGAGGAAAATAATGAAGAAAAACAAGAGTACCACTGAGAAAGCCAGAGCCTTTTGCTGTATGAACACACACCCCACATGGAACACCTATGCGTATGTATATGTACACACATATGGCTGCACAGTGGAAATAGTACTAGATACACAGTCCTATATTTGGGAATCTTGTTTCACCTTAACCTTCAGAGCATTATTGCACACTGGAGTGTGATTGTCTCCTCACCCATAACCTCCAATGCCTTCTGGCTGTACCCAGAACAAAGGTCCTCATCATGGCAAGACCAAAGCACTCTGGCTCCTGTCTCCTTCTCCAGCCTCAACATGGCTTGCTCTGCTCTAAGCATAAAGCTTTCCATCAATTCCCTCAGGTACTTTGGCTCCTTAGAACACACACCTGCTTTCCCTCTGCCGGGAAAGTTCCATCCTCAGTGATTCACATGGGTGGTTCATGTTTATCATTCAGGATTTCAACTTTATGACCCCTTCCTTTGGAGTCCTTCCCTGATCACTCTTACCAGCCCCCAGCTTCTCCCTCTCCTTCCACTGGCTTTTGGGGTCTGCATAACAACATGCTCATCCATTTGGACATTTGGCCCTTTGTCTGCCTGAAGTGACAGTCTAAAAAGCAAAGGCCTTTCACTTGTTTGCAGCTGTATCTCTAGCATCTATAACAGTGCCCAACAGAGAGCGGAGGCTCCTCAGCTATCTGTCAAATGAATGAACGACTCCTTGAAATTTCTTCAAAAACACATCTTTAATATAGCGACAGATCCATGGCCTGCTATTTGTTCCCAAGAATTAATGGCATTGAAAATGAAGCTCAAGGGGCTGGGGATGTGGCTCAAGTGGTAGCGCGCTCGCCTGGCATGCGTGCGGCCCGGGTTCGATCCTCAGCACCACATACAAACAAAGATGTTGTGTCCACCGAAAAATAAATAAATAAATATTAAAAAAAAAAAGAAAAAAAAAAAGAAAATGAAGCTCAACTGCTCTCCAGTGGGTAAATGACTGTTTAACATGAAGAATTCTGTGAGTTTTTGTAGACATTGCTCTGAAATCTCAGTCAGGAGCTGGAAATCATCCTGGTTCTGCATGATTCTGTAACAATCTCAAAAGACTTCAAAGGCCTTAATTGAAAACTCATTACTCTTTTGGAAGTCTATTATCCCCAGTCTGCATGTGAGTAAACTCCACCCAGAAAAATGAAGTCATTGGAATTGGCCTGGTGAGGTTCCATTCCTTCTGAGCACTTCCTTGAGACTCAGGGCCTGTCCTTCTCTAGGAGACAATGGACAAACGCCCAGGTGCCACGTAGGGCAGCATTCTGTTAGTTAAGACATAGAATAACAAGGTTGGCTTCAAGCCAGACTCCAGGCTTTCCCCTTGGGCAAGTCCAAAGAAAGTTGGGAAAATTCTACTTATTTATCAATAAGAAAATTGAGGTTCAGATAAATGAGTTGCCTAATAAAATGAATATTTCCATCTAGAATCATAGGCTTCTCCTGAATCCCAGTTGCTTTATCCTGCCTTTCTGAGCTGACAGCTGTGGAAGAGATCTTTCACAGCAGTATCCTTAGGTCCCCAGCTCCTTTGGGGCTGTGTTGCCTCAACTTCAGCAGAACTCTGAGAGGTGAGTTTTATGTATTATTTATGTATTATTTATAGGTGAAGAAACCAAAGCTCAGAAAAATTGAACAGCTTCCCCAAATCACCCAGCTACTAAATGTTAGAGCTAGAAAACAATCCCAGGTGTGTTTAGCACCAAATGCATGCTTTGAACTGCTTTGTGGAGGTCCTTTTATGTCACTAGACCAGCTATAGGAAAGGGAGAGGCACATGTGAATGGTTGCTTCATGATGAGAAGGATAAGGTCATTCTTATGGAGTTGCATAGGTGACAACTAACTGCTCTCCCTGCTAGAGCCGAAAAGAGGTTCCAAACTCTAGAAATCAGTGTTCAGCAAATTAAAAACAGGAGAACTATTAAAATTCTACATTATCTTTTCTTATTCTGAAAATAGTAAAAGAAATAAGAAGTGGCACTTGAAAAGACATAAGCCAACGTCAACTGTGTTTTCTTTTGTTTGTGTCATTAGGAAGTGGGTGCTTAAAGGAAAAAACATCAGGGCTGGGGTTGTGGCTCAGTGGTAGAGCACTCACCTAGCAGATACGAGACTCTGAATTCGATCCTTAGCACCACATAAAAAAAAAATGAATAAATAAAATAAAGATATTGTGTCCAACTACAACTAAAAAATAAATATTTTTAAAAAATCAGAATCAGCAAAATACAAAATATGCTCTTGTGCAGAGTGTTCCTTATCAGGTTTGATGGGTCCTCCTAGACCACTCCTGCAACACTTGGCTAATGAGGCAATGAGAATGAGGAGGAAGGAAATGCACAGGCCCTTTTGAAATACTATTTGTTTTTACTGACATTTTCACCTTGAGTCTCAGTTGGCCAATCTCACAAAGGGAACCTGTCACTCTGTAACCTTTCCGGGGCCTTTCCTTGTCCAGCATGCAAAAGAAAAACAAAACATCCCAATCAGCTTCTTGGAGGGGAGGCTGCCAGGGGAGGCCTCCGTCAGATGCCAGGAGAGACAAACTACCTGCTCCTGGCCCAGGTGGCTGCTGTCATTCCCAGGTTAAAAATAAAGTCTGAGGCTAGACAGTGGTTTGGAGCTGAATGGCAATTTCTTGCTTATCAAAATCAATTCTAGCTTGCCACCTGGCAGACAGAATATGTGAATGTAAGAGAAATCAATGCAGGCTGAGATTTTTGAGTAAAATCCCTTGAGTTCCATATGTAGCACCCGATGTAACTTTATAGACAGTACCGGCATGCATTGGGCGAGCATGCTGATATGCGTGTAAGCGAGTATGTAGGCTTGTGGCCAGCCGAGACAGGATGAAACAGAGAACCTCAACCTTCAATTCTGCAAGACTCTGAGGCTTAAACAGGGCCTGATACATTGTAGGTATCCATACAGAGCTACTGAATGCAGGAAGAAATTCTTGGCAAAGTGAAAAATCCCACAGCTTGCATTTATGTTAACTCACCAGAAGTTTCCACTCCTAACTCTGATGGCATTCAAACCTTTAGGAATTGTAAAAATGAAGTCAACTATCATGAACATTCACAGTCCCTTTCCTGTAAGTCCCTCTTGCCTTAAAAAGGGACCAAGCCTTCGGGGCTGTGTATCACACAAGCCCTGACAATTTAGGAAGATGTTCCAACAGGCTTCTTTAACACTTATGAAAACCCAAATTATCACCCTAAAGGATGTTCACAATACCAACAGCAATAATCATAGCTAATACTTATTATTCACTTATTACATACATACCAGGCACTTTTGTAAGCATTTTACAAGTACTAATTCATCTTATCCTTAAACAACCCTATGAGGTGGTCGATATTTACATCATCACTTTTCAGATACAGAAACTAAGGCACAGAGCAGGGAAGCTATTAAAAAACAAAACAAACAAACAAAAAAAACACACCTAAGTTCACAGAGGTTAATAAGAGTGGCGCCAAGACCAAATCTAACCAGCCTGAGCTCCAGGTGCCCACAAACTTTGCCACTGCCCACTCCTCTAACCTTGAGCTAGGCCATTTTTTTAAAAAACCCTGACCTCACCAAGGCATAGCTGACAATAGTCCCAAGACTTAAGTAGCATTAAAGTAAGGGTAACATTTGAGCCTCATGGATCACAGAACACCTCTGGATAGGGTGGCAGTGTCCACGGCAATGGTGCGAGCCATGCTGCCAACACGGCAAGAAGGACTCCTGAGATATTTTCATGTGTCTTCTGAGAAACAAAGAGTGGATTCAGGATCCACTCTGACTCAAGAAATGAATGTTAAGTGGCTGATTGCATCTCTCCAACAAGCCTCTGCAACTGGAAATAAAGTTAGGTTTTCCATTGAACCCTCTAGTCTCCAATAAATCTTTTGTATCATGTAAGGAATAAACTGTCCCAAGCCCCCCTTCCTCCACACACACTCTGAGAGATGGAATAGGCCCAATGGAAAACATTGACTCTTTGAGGCCACTTTCAGATTCAGAGGGAAGGCTCCACAATGACACCCAACCTGCAGAATGCTCATTACAAGGAGTCTCATCCACCCAGGTGGGCTTGTGACCTGTCAGGAAGACCAAGGGAAGGAGCTCTTCCAGACTCCACAGCCTATAGAGCCCAATTCCAGCACTGAACCCACTGAGGGTTGATGGTTCAGTTTACTTGGGACCTGGCCAAAGCTGCTTTGGGCTCAGATCTTTCCTTCACAGCTAGTTTGTTACGTAACGCCTCAGATGCTCAGCCTCCTCTTTGATGGAATGACAATACCAACCTCTCAGTGTTTGAGGGACTATTTCGTGACATATGTCAAACACTTGATATGGGGCTTGGCACTTAATAAACAGAGCCAATGGATATTGCAACTTATTATCTGCCTTAAGTACTTTAGCTAACTCAAATATCATAAAAATTCTATGAGGTAGGCACTACTCTCAAATCCATTTTTAGGAAAGGAGGAAATTGAGCCCCAAAGTGGTAAAGTAAATCGTCCCAAAGTCATCCAAGTGGGAGAGCTGGAACTCTATCCTGGCTCCTGTTTAAATTTATCATCACTTGATAAGCCACAGATGACCAGTAACACCACTAATCTTATACATAGCTTCCCC